ATGCACCCTAGAGAGAACATCTTAATCGTATCCACATCTAACCAAATCTGTTAAAAAGTTAAATTTGCAGTTGTAAAGGTTTACATTACACTAGCTGTCCCCTGCCACACATTTCTATGGCCCAGTCTGTGTATATGTGTATATATGTGTGTATATATGTGTGTATATATTTGGCTTTTAAGTCTCTTCCACTGTGTTTTTCAGTGTTTTTCTGAGTGATGGCCACTCTTTGGCCTGATATGTGTCTTGTGTCCAAATTTGGTGTCAATTCGTCCAGTGGTTTTTGAGTTATGTTAATCCTACAAATGAACATTACATTTTTTTATTTATATAGATCAACAGTTCCAAGAGCTAAGAGGTTTTCCTATGTGAACCTTTCTGAAATGAATGTGAGTTGCACATGAGCATTAATTGGGCTACAAGATGTACTAGCTTTTTTTGGAAATGAGCAAGCCTTATGCTTTTCTGATTAACTTGTTGGTGGGCACTTGTTGTCATTTCCGTGTTTGCACAAGAGGGAAGATGATGACCATCCATCATCTTCAAGCCACTGCTAAAAGCACAAAATAAAAGTTGACGACTCTGAGAAATTTTGGTATTTGGACTTTGGCGTAACAAAACACTTCTCTCCAATTGCATTGGTCACAAACTTGACAAACTTGCTATTTTTCTACTGGAGGGTTGATTTCTGCTCTGGGACACTTGACTTCCATTTCATATACTTAAAATGGGAAGGAAACATTATTAGCATACTGTCTTTGAACTGGAAACAAGTTTTATTCTGTGTATTGTCGAAGGCTTTCATGGCTGGAATCACTGGGTTGTTGTAGATTTTTCGGGCTATATGGCCATGGTCTAGAGGCATTCTCTTGCCTCTAGACCATGGCCATATAGCCCGAAAAACCTACAACAACCCAAGATTTATTCTGATTTTCTTTCCTTTTCCAATTTGTTTTGAAACACTATTGCAGTACCTGCAATGTCCACAAGATGTCAGAAAAGTACCAGAAATAAGTGTTTCCTATTTCAGTGTCTAGCAGCTATTAAATTTACTTAAATGCATCAAATATTTGTTAATGTGGATGTAGACTTGATCATATTTGAGATCAATGAGACTTAAATTTCATAGATCTCAACATGTTTACTCTACCTGTACTAGAAAATGCAATTATTTCAAATTATATTACAATACAGCATAAGTAAAGGTAAATGCTTTCCCTTGACATTAAGTCTAGTCGTGTCCGGCACTGGGCAGTGGTGCTCATCTCCATTTCTAAGTCGAAGAGCCGGTTTTGTCCGTAGACACCTCCTAGGTCATGTGGCCGGTGTGATTGCATGCAGCATCGTTACCTTCCCACCGAAGCGGTATCTATTATTATTATTATTATTATTATTAATAATAATAATAATAATAACAACAACAACAACAACAAAAATCTGGCTCTTCCGTTGCTCCTTTGGTGATTACCATACAATCTGATATTGCTGCTGTGTCTCAACATTTGTCCTTAGAGTATACCTCCTCCTCTCCTGTAGAAAGACCTTTCTTGACCTCATGTCCGAAGAGTTTCTCCTTCACAAATAATCTGCTCCATCTCTATCCCACCCCGTGATTTTAGTTTTTAGCTTTAGTATTTTACTCTGTACATGCCGCCCACTCACTGTCATTGTCACAATCACTGTGTTAATGATTGATTTTAATTTTATATTGTTTGCTGTATTTTTATGTTTTATGTAATTTATCTTGTTATTGTGTATGATTTCATTTCCTTTATTGTATTGTGTTGTTGGGCTTAGCCTCATGTAAGCCGCCCCGAGTTCCCATCGGGGAGATAGTGGCAGGGTATAAATAAAGTTTATTATTATTATCTATTAATCTGCTCACATTTGCATTTGCAGAGGCTGGGGCTAACAGCAGGAGCTCACCCTTTTTTCCCGGATTCGAACAGCTGACCTTTCAATCAGCAAGTTCAGCAGTTCAACGGTTTAACCTGCTGCACCACTATGACATGAGAGCCCTGTTTAAATGCTTGAAATCATGTCCAATAGAGGAGGCACCAACCTTGTTTTCTGCTGCTCCAAGCTAACATATGGAGCAATGGATTCAAACTGCAGGGGAAAAAAATGCTAGCAAAACGTTAGGAAGAACTTCCTGACAGTAAGAGCACCTTGACCATGGCATCTGCTGCCCATGATTCTATGTCCTCTTTTGGCATTTTCAAGGTCATCCAGCATGACTCTAATATGCTTGTACCAGAAACTCCCATTTTCCCAATAGGGCAGTGTTTCTCAACCTGGGGGTCGTGACCCCTGGAGGGGTCAAATGGGCATTGCAGAGAGGTTGCCATAAGAAAACACATATTTCTGATGGTCTCAGAAACTACAACTCCAAATCTCAAGATCAATGCCCACCAAATCCTTCCAGTATTTTTTGTTGGTCATGGGAGTTCTGTGTGCCAAGTTTGGTTCAATTCCATCGTTGGTGGAGTTCAGAATGCTCTTTGATTGTAGGTGAACTATAAATCCCAGTAACTACAACTCCAAAATGTCTATTTTCCCCAATCTTCACCAGTATTCACATTTGGGCATATTGAGTGTTCATGCCAAGTTTGGTCCAGATCTATCATTATTTGAGTCCACAGTGCTCTCTGGATGTAGGTGAATTATAACTTCAAAACTCAAGGTCTGGAGAACAAGCCCTATGAGGAGCGGCTTGAAGAGCCTGAAGAAGAGAAGGCTGATAGGAGACATGATAGCCATGTATAAATATGTGAGAGAAATTCATAGGGAGGAGGGAGCAAGCTTGTTTTCTGCTGCCCTGGAGACTAGTACACAGAAAAATGGCTTCAAACTACAAGAAAGGAAATTCCCCCGATCATTAGGAAGAACTTCCTGACTGTGAGAGCTGTTCATCAATGGAACCCTCTGCCCCGGAGTGTGATGGAGGCTCCTTCTTTGGAGGCTTTTAAACTGAGGCTGGATGGCCATCTGTCGGGGGTGCTTTGAATGCAATATTCCTGCTTCTTGGCAGAATGGGGTTGGACTGGATGGCCCATGAGGTCTCTTCCAACTCTAGGATTCTATGATTCTATGATTCTGAAGTCTTTCATATAGGAAGCCCAAGTGATCTGAAAGTTCTAGCAAATCATAGTGAATTAAGTCAATCTGGTTCCAAGCCAGAGAGTCGGGCCATCCTTCCACTCCCTTGCTCCTTCCTTCTCTGCTATTTTTGGGAGTTCCTGGTTTTTTGTCACAGTTAATTTCTTGGAAAAGAACTGGATTTTATTGATTCTGAATCAGCAGTTTGTTATCTTTGACTCTGACTCAGCAAAACCTGAAAAATCAATGATTGTTATGGCTCGTTCTTTTAATTGATTGAAATGGAAACAGAATGGCTAGCTCTGATTTATAACTTGTTAATCAGTAATGGCAATTGCCTGAGCACCTTGACCCAATGCCAATCTGTACAGAGGTAATAATGCCTGGTATCAGTGTGTGTTTACTTCTGTTTCCTGTGATGATTATGCTAAATTGCGGTCACATGGTGAAATAGTCCTGAATTGGGGATAATATTTGACAAAAAAATGTGTGCCAAATGACAACTTGTTTTTTTCCCCTTTGCATTCCTGACTGCATTCAAAAAAGAAGTTGGTTTGTATATTCTATTTTTGCTTCTACTTAGTAGTCCCATTTGTCTATATAAATAAAAATGTAATGTTAGTTTGTGGAATTAACATAACTCAAAAACCACTGGACAAATTGACACCAAATTTGGACACAATGCACCTACCAGGCCAATGAGTGACCATCACTCATAAAAACACTGAAAAACACAGCAGAAGAGATTTTGAAAAATCCAAAAAATTAAAAAAAATACATTACAATGCATACAGACCTCACAACCTCTGAGGATGCTTGCCATAGATGCAGGCGAAACGTCAGGAGAGAATGATTATAGAACATGATCCAGTCATATCCGACTCTGGAGTGTGGTGCTCATCTCCATTTCTAAGCCGAAGAGCCAGCGTTGTCCATAGACATCTCCAAGGTCATGTGGAACGGTACCATCACTCTGCTGGCAGTTGTATTGGATCACACGTTGGACACTTCCTAAGTGTCTAGGACTGTGTGATGTATCGACGAATGATGCGTGCAGATCCCAGTAAGGTGGCCTTCTGAAGCTTTGCTTTGCGTCTATGTATGTTGGAAGCCATCCTAAGACCCTTTGGGAAGATAAGTCGGAATACAAATAAATAATAATACTAATACTACTACTACTAATAATAATAAAGCATGCATTATTCGCTGATACATCACACAGTCCTAGACCCTTGGGAAGTGTCCAACTTGTGATCCAATTCAACAGCCAGCAGAGTGTCTGCTGTGAACTCATCTAGTTGTGTTTCAAATAATAATAAACTTTATTTATAATTATTATTATTATTAGAAACACAACCAGATGAGTCCACAGCAGACACTCTGCTGGCTGTTGTATTGGATCACACGTTGGACACTTCCCAAGTGTCTAGGACTGTGTGATGTATCGGCGAATAATGCGTGCAGATCCCAGTAAGGTGGCCTTTTGCAGCTGGCAGATGGTAATCTTGTCAGCGCCGATTGTGTTTAAGTGCAGGCCAAGGTCTTTAGGCACTCACCCAGTGTGCCGATCTCCACTGGGACCACCTTTACTGGCTTATGCCAGAGTCTTTGTAGTTCGATCTTTAAATCCTCATATCGTGTCAGCTTTTCCTGTTGTTTCTCTGCAATTATTATTATTATTATTATTATTATTATTATTACATCTCTGTTAAATATATACAACCATCTAAGTGACTTTGGAAATTATGTCCCAGTTCTAAAATGAGTTTCATTGCTGCAGGAGGGGAAAGAGTGGGAGGACCTTTTGACAAAATCTTCATGAATCTGCGTTTGAAATGATCCCTTGGAGTCTAAAGGTTCATTTGAGCACAGATTCATGACGGATGTCCAAGGCATGTGCCAAATAGACTCTTGCCAGAAAAGAAATCGCCAGAAGAACTTTGTCCAGCGTGGAAGCAGTTGGCTCACAAGGACACAAAGAGGCCACTTGTCTTTCACAGGGTAAGATTGTATTCCTGAAAAATTATTATCCCACTTCTTATTCTTGTCCCTTCAGTGAAATGGATAATTTATCCTGGGAATAGAAATTTGCTGAACAATGAATCACTTTGGTAGGTCTGAATCTCCCTGATGCATCATGAAAAGCACAAGCATAGTGAGAAATATATCAATGCACATAGATTTGTATTGTGATTGTTTTCTTTTTGCTTTTTACCGATGTATGTATTTTTATATATGGCATCCAATTGTTGCCGACTTGTATGCCGCCCTGAGTCGCCTTCGGGCTGATATGGGCAGGATACGAATGTCACAAATAAACACATAAATAAATAAATTGTGATTGGTTATTCATTTATTGGCTGCCCTGTTATTTCTGCCTTGTATATGTATTTCTCTGCCTTACATCTGTATATGAGCTTACTGTACTATTACTTATGGAAAAGTGGTGTAGAAAATAAATTGTATTCTTCTTTAGAATGTCTTTGAATATCTAACATAATTTTATAATTGTACTAGTGGTCCCCTGCCAGGCTTTGCTGTGGCCCAGTCTGTTGATCTGGAAAATAAAGTAATGAGAAAGTGTTGGTTTCTAATATATGTAATTTCTTTATGCTTGTGGGTAAGTAGTATTTCTTGCTGTTCCTTTGTCAGTGTTGATGTGGAGAGTGTCTGGTTTGCCCACCCTGGAATATGCAACATATCATTGTCCTTCTTCAGGGGTCCCTTTCAAATCTATGATACTATATCTCTCTGTGTGTGAATCATATCTCTCCCCCCGAAATTCTCATGGTGGTCTGCGAAAAGGCCTTACTGGTACATTATTTAAACTGTTATGTTTATTCATATCATGATCTGATCACCATGCTCAATATATCCCATATGCATGGGGGTATTGGGGTAACTATACAAAAGGTTTACTAGGGTAGACCCCCTTTCACTCAGATTCAACCCCCCCCCCCCCCCCCGAATCAAAATCCTGGCTACGGGCCTGAGTGGGGGCATTGGTTTCCAGGTGGAAGGAGGTCCCAGTCGGGGTTGTCTTGATGTGCCTTCCTCTTGGCACGTTTCTTCCTTTCGCCCTGTATTCGTACCTCTTCAAATTCAGTCACAGCTGACCTCCAGCTGGAGCGCTCAAGGGCCAGGGCTTCCCAGTTCTCAGTGTCTATGCCAGAGTTTTTAAGGTTGGCTTTGAGCCCATCTTTAAGTCTCTTTTCCTGCCCACCAACATTCCATTTTTGTTCTTGAGTTCGGAGTAGAGCAACTGCTTTGAGAGACGGTGGTTCGGGCATCCGGACAACGTGGCCGGTCCAGCGGAGTTGATGGCGGAGGACCATCGCTTCAGTGCTGGTGGTCTTTGCTTCTTCCAGCACATTGACATTTGTCCGCTTGTCTTCCCAAGAGATTTGTCGGATTTTCCGGAGGCAACTCTGATGGAATCATTCCAGGAGTTGCATGTGACATCTGTAGACAGTCCACGTTTCGCAGGCGTATAGCAGGGTTGGGAGGACAATAGCTTTATAAACAAGCACCTTGGTATCCCTACGGATGTCCCGGTCCTCAAACACTCTCTGCTTCATTCAGAAAAATGCTGCACTTCCAGAACTCAGGGGGTGTTGTATTTCGGTGTCAATGTTGACTTTTGTGGAGAGGTGGCTGCCAAGGGAGCGGAAATGGTCAACATTTTCTAATGTTACACCATTAAGCTGTATCTCTGGCATTGGAGAGGGATTGGCTGGTGACTGCTGGAAGAGCACTTTGGTTTTCTCGATGTTCAGTGACAGGTCGAGCTTCTCGTATGCTTCTGCAAAGGTGTTTAGAGTGGCTTGTAGGTCTTCTTCTGAATGCACACAGGCGACGTTGTCATCAGCATTATACACCAACATGGATAAAATAGATCTGGACCACTTAATATTCAAGATTGGCTCCTATAGCAGGAACATGCAATAACTTAATGTGATTTTTGTTCCATTATAGATGTCTCATTTTCTATGATAACACTCAGCAATAGTGCCCTTTTACTCTGAGATTTTGCCACTTATCTGCATAAGTAGCAAGCATTATTCTGCAAAATGTGTTAACTGAACCAATCCCTCCCTCTCTTCTTTCCCCGGCCTTCATTGTTTCCTTTCCACACTCTCTCTTTTTCTTTTTTCTTTTTGCTAATTGTCTTGTAGGCATTTTAAATAAATATCCTCTGCGGTAATGGCCAAAGTGAAAAAGACAAAGTGTGTAATTTCCTCAATCAATACGAAGAAAGGAAAGAATGACTAATAACGCTAATTTCACACTATTAATGCTAATTGGCACACCATGTACCCTGTGCCAAAAAGATACCCTTCTTGTCAGTCAGAATAAACTGTGCAATTTTGCCAAATTTGCATGTGCTTTGCATAATTTATCGCTCCACTTCCAAAATGTGGGAGTTACAACTGATAAGAATTTTTTTTCAAGAACCAAGGATGTGAAAAATTGAGGCATAGTAATTCAGTGCTGTGCTTCTCTCTCCACAATGTTTATTTAGTTACTAGCCGTCCCCTGCCACTCATTGCTGTGGCCCAGTCTGTATATTTGTGTGTATATATTTGTGTATCTGTGTATATGTGTGTTTGCATGTGTGTGTGTGTGTATAGGTGTATATGTGTGTGCATATGTGTGTGTGTAGATGTGTATATATGTGTTTATAAATTTGTGTGTTTATATGTATGTATGTATGTATGTGTGTGTGTATATATATATATATTGTGTATATGTGTGTGCTTGTCTATATGCATATTTGTGTTTATATATGTGTGTATGTATGTGTGCATGTGTATATTTGTGTGTGCATATGTGTGTATATATATGTGCATGTGTATGTAGATGTATGTGTGTGTACATTTGTATGGGTATTTGCTTGTGTATGTATATATGTATGTGTATGTATGTGTATATGTATGTGTATATATATATATGTGGTGTATTTTGGGGAGTTTTAAGTCCATTATGCTGGGTTTTTTAAATTATTATTATAATTAAATTAACACTCATTGGACTGTTAGGTGTATTATGTCCAAATTTGGTGTCAATTTGCCCAGTGGTTTCTGAGTTATCTCACAAATGAACATTACATTTTTATTTATATAGACTAGCTGTTCCCTGCCACGCGTTGCTGTGGCCCACATGGGGGGTCTGTATGGGAGGTTTGGCCCAATTCTATCGTTGGTGGGATTAAGAATGCTCTGTGATTGTAGGTGAACTATAAATCCCAGAAACTACAAATCCCGAATGTCAAGATTCTATTTTCCCCAAACCCCACCAGTGTTCACATTTGGACATACTGAGTATCCGTGTAGAGTTTGGTCCAGATCCATCATTGTTTGAATCCACAGTGCTCTCTGGATGTAGGTGAACTACAACTCCAAAACCAAAGGACACCCACCAAACCCTTCCAGTATTTTCTGTTGGTCATGGGAGAATTGTGTGCCAAGTTTGGTTCAATTCCATCGTTGGTGGGGTTCAGAATGTTCTTTGATTGTAGGTGAACTATAAATCCCAGCAACTACAACTCCCAAATGACAAAATCATTTTTTGTGTGAAGGACATACATTGGGTTGTTAGGTGTAAAAGGGGGGAAGAAAGGGAAGAGGAAGAGAAGGAAGGAAGGAGAGAAAGAGGAAGGGAAAGAAAAGGGGGGAAGAAAGGGAAGAAGAAGAGAAGGAAGGAAGGAAGGAAGGAAGGAAGGAAGGAAGGAAGGAAGGAAGGAAGGAAGGAAGGAAAAGAAAGAAAGAAAGAAAGAAAGAGGGAGGGAAGGTTGGCCACTGCAATGCGTGGCAGGTACAGCTAGTAAATAAATAAATTTTCCTTTTATCTCCCTTGATCCTACAACTGAAGTATATCTTTATTACGTTGATACTTCCAAAACAGAAGAAAAGCCATTCATTGCTCAACAAACCGAGTATCCTGCCTTTAAGCTTTTTGTGTGTGTGGCTTACAGAAGGGTTGATTTTGTGTGGATGGGTTCCCAGAAGCAAAGTCTCCAGCCACCCCTTTTCACTCCCTCATTTATTCTTGATAGCAACCCCTCAAAACATCTTTTCAGTAACAAAAAGTAGGGGAAAGAAATGATTGAGAAAACCCAGGGGGAAAGATGACATTGTAGTTTTGTTCTCAGTGGGTTTATCCATCATTTCAATACACTGGCATGAAATTTTGTTCCAGCTGAACAGGAACTGGATGTCAGTTAGTTGTGTAAGCTCTGGGCACAAAATTCATGCCAATTGCTGCTGGCAACCATGGACGATTCTCCGCCCAGAATCAGTCCCCGAAGTGCTCTTTCCTTCAGCACCACATGGAATAAACACCTCTTGCTCATTTTGAACATCAGTCTGCAAAAACTAGAACTCTGGAAAAATAAGTGTGTGTACTTGAGATATATATCAGATGAACCTCGCAAGAAGAAGATAAGAGAAACTCCACGCAGCTAAAAAGTCGTCTAACAAGAGATTTGGAAAAATACACAGAAAGACTGCCCTCTTCAGAGAATTCCATTGTAAACATTGAATGAATAACTGGCTACACTGGCAGATGAGAGAGAGAAATTTACAAGGAGCGTTTTCCTCTGTAGTTTTGGAAAAGTTATTCAATGCAAGTTCTTTCTGTGCTGGTACGGCTGTACCAGGAGCTCCTACTTCCTTTTCTTTCTATTGAGTGTTTGCATGTATTCCAAGGTTCTATGCATTTTGCAATAAGGTGGTTTCCCTTGCTCTGCAATTATAGGGCCAATGACCCATCAATCATCATTATGTTCTTTAGTTCCGCCCCTTTCCCCAGGGCTCTGGGAGGGAAAAGAAAGACTTCAGGCAGTCTTTCAGTTTTGGAAGCCCAGTTACAGGACGTGAGCTTTCCTCACCTGTAGAGAAGCTTCGTTTCTCACAACATCCGGGGGAAACAGCCCTAAAGCTTCTAAAGAAAACAGTTTGATAGCACAACCCTTGTTGGGGTTAAAGATACAGATCCACATCATTCGTGGAGAAAATCCCAAAGCTGGAAAATCTACAAGGTCTTGGCTGGTAGGTCTACTCGGGTAACCAGAAGCAATTGGAGCTGGGAGTAGGGCCCACACCAGCAGAGCCTAGAAAACAGATTGCCCGAGAGGGGTCAAAAAGAGTTTTCCTTGTTAAAGGAAGAAATAGTTCTCCAAGCAAGGTGCCCACCAGTTGATTCAAAGCCTTGAAGCATTTGTTTAATTTGTTGAAGATCTAAGAAGTATTTGATTGTTTGTTGAAGACCTTTCAAGCTTCTAAAGACTCTGTATAGGAAAATCCTTAGGGCCCCTCACTCGAGGCACCCTGGCTTCCCGCTGGGCAAAAAGAGCACGTCCTGTTCAAAAGCCAACTGCTATGGGCCCAGCGCGTGACAACACACTTTCCATTTTAACATTGGAAATGATTGATCAAATTTAATACAAATCAGATTTAGGAAGTCAATAGTATTTCCTATGGCAAGAAATGTAACTAACTTTTTACTGATGCTTTTTGTTTTTATGATGCAGTTTTTATTATCTTCTTTTCTTTTGCTGTTTTTAATCTTTATCTCCTCTCCCCCCAAAAAACAGGCCTGCATTTATGATTTTATGTGAAAATGTCTAGGAGGAAAAAATCATTTGTTTCAAAACCCACAAAGAACGAAGATGATGAAAGAAAATACAAGGAAACAAATGAAGTCACTGGTTTGACCTATGTAAGTAAATATGCTACTGTTCTGGATATTTCATGAATAATGTTGTTGTATTTGTTATATATTGAGGCAATATGTGCTGTTTTGTAATGGTAGTGGTATTAGTAGTAGTAGTTATTGTTGTGTGCCTTCAAGTTGTTGCCAACTTATGGCTCAAACTTATTATAACTTGCAGTATCTGAATTGGTCACTTGGTGGCAGCAGAGATCATTTTGATGTATTTTTATGGCACAATAGTAACTTCACCACGAACTCACTTGTAATGAATAATTAAGTAAGTTCTTAGGTTCCTGACTATGATTATTATGACCTGTGGAGTAATTGGAGTAAAGTAACTAGTTCCTTTAGGACAGTGTTTCTCAACCTGAGGGGCGGGGTCATGAGGGTCTGTCAGAGGGATCACCAAAGACCATCAGAAAACACAGAATTTCTGTTGGTCATGGGGGTTCTGTGTGGGAAGTTTGGCCCAGTTCTATCATTGTTGGTATTCAGAATGCTCTTTGATTGTAGGTGAACTATAAATCCCAGCAACTACAATTCCCAAATGTCAAGGTCTATTTTCCCACAAACACCACCAGTGTTCACATTTGACCATATCGAATACTTGTGCCAAGTTTGGTCCAGATCCATCATTGTTTGAGTCCACCGTGCTCTTTGGTTCAATCCCATCGTTGGTGGAGTTCAGAATGCTCTTTGATTGTAGGTGAACTATAAATCCCAGCAAATACAACTCCCAAATGTCAAGGTCTATTTTCCCCAAACTCCAGTGTTCACACTTGGGCATATTGAGTATTCGTGCCAAGTTTGGTCCAGATCCATCATTGTTTGAGTCCACAGTGCTCTCTGGATGTAGGTGAACTACAACTCCAAAACTCAAGGTCAATGCCCACCAAACCCTTCCAGTATTTTCTGTTGGTCATGGGAGGTCTGTGTGCCAAGATTGGTTTAATTCTATCATTGGTGGAGTTCAGAAAACCCACAAGAACTGAGAATGCTCTTTGATTGTAGGTCAACTATAAAATCCCAGCAACTACAACTCCCAAATGACAAAACCAATCCCCCTCTCCCTATCCCACCAGTATTCAAATTTGAGTGTACTGGGTATTTGTGCCAAACTTGGTCCAGTGAAGGAAAATATATTCTGCATAACAGATATTTACATTGCAATTCATAACAGTAGCAAAATTACAGCTGTGGTGTAGCAACAAAAAAATTATGGTTGTATTAAGGGGTCGTGACATTAGGATGGTTGAGAACCACTGTTTTAGAAAGTATCATTCCAAACATGAATTGAAAGACTACCAACTTTGTATCTAGGTAATTGTTGTTGTTCATTCGTTCAGTCATTTCCAAGTCTTCATGACTTCATGGACCAGCCCATGCCAGAGCTCCCTGTCAGCTGTCACCACCCCCAGCTCCTTCAAGGTCAATCCAGTCACTTCAAGGATACCATCCATCTATCTTGCCCTTGGTCGCCCTTCTTCCTTTTTCCTTCCATTTTCCCCAGCATCATTGTCTTCTCTAAGCTTTCCTTCTTCTCATTATGTGGCCAAAGTACCCCATCTTTGCCTCTACTATCCTTCCCTCCAGTGAGCAGCCGGGCTTTATTTCCTGAAGTATGGACTGGTTGGATCTTCTCACAGTCCAAGGCACTCTCAGAACTTTCCTCCAACACCACAGTTCAAAAGTATCTATCTTCCTTCGCTCAGCCTTCCTTATGGTCCAGCTCTCACATCCGTAGGTTACTACAGGGAATACCATTGCTTTGACTATGTGGATCTTTGTTGCCAGTGTGATGTCTCTACTCTTCACTATTTTATTGAGATTGGTCATTGCTCTCCTCCCAAGAAGTAAGCGTCTCCTGATTTCCTGGCTGCAGTCTGCGTCTGCAGTCATCTTTTCACCTAGAAATACAAAGTCTGTCACTGCCTCCACGTTTTCTCCCTCTATTTCCCAGTTGTCAATCATTCTTGTTGCCATAATCTTGGTTTCTTTGATGTTTAGCTGTAACCCAGCTTTTGCGCTTTCTTCTTCTTGATTAGAAGGCTCCTCAGCTCCTTCTCACTTTTGGTCATCAAAGTGGTGTCATCTGCATATCTAAGGTTGTTAATGTTTCTTCTAGGCAATTAGCTCTGCCTTTATTGGAAGCAATCTCCAAATACTCACTATTATAACAACAGACATTTATCATACACAGAATAGAAATATAGAGGAAACCCTATCCCTGTATTTTTAACAATATTATCATCTACCATAGCTGGAGCCAAAATGAATACGAAGGGTTCACTATGGGCTTGGGTACCACGGAAAAAATTGGTTCTAAACTCGTTTTGTTTTTAGGGGGCCCTTGCGTTTCGTTTTTTTTTAATAATTCCGAAATTTTCCTTTTAAAATTTTTGAAATATACGAAATTTCGTATAATTACGAATCGATTCGTTAATGGCGGACGCGATTGCGCAATATGCTAAAAAAAACCTCCAAATGGGACAGGGGGAACTTCTGAAGCTTCCCTCCCTCTGTTGTTGACTGTTGGTGTGATAAAACAAACAACAACTATAAAACTTGCACCAGACATGCGAAAATAATTACGAAATAATTACGAAATAATTTCGAAATAATTACAAAATAATAACAAAATAATTACAAAATAAATTGAAAAAATTGTTTCGAATCTAATTTACTCCTCGCACTATTCCTGCATGGCTCAATATTGGATCGTAAGCTAATTTAAATACGAATTAATAACGAATTACGAAATTAATGAACGAAACCGCCCAAGCCTAGTTCACTATATGGCAAAGGTTGATTGAAACACTAGCTGCCATTAGATCTCTCTCTCCTTACTTTTGCCCACATGCCAGCTTTGCTCATACAAGTCATGTCCCTTGAAGGGCAAAATGGAACAGACCTTCCTATTAATCCAACCACCAAGAGAGAATGTCCGAGACCATATTTCTTTAACAAAGACCAAGGGAAGGATGGAACTTCTGTTCTAGAACATTCGTTCCAGGTTCAGAATGACTGTTGAGCCAGGCAGTTGGAGAGGGGAAGGTGGGAAATCAATTTAATGGAAGACAGAAAGACTGAAGTTGGGACGACGAAAAGCTTCCTTCCAGATCTGGATGGAAGTGAACTAGCGGAGCAAGAAAGTTAAGAGAGCAAATCTCTAATGAGTAAAGAACCACCTTTAATACAGATGGCAGAGCAAGAAGCAAGATAAGTATTTGCAAGGACTGGGAAAGGATTTCCAAGTACCACTATAACTCGATTTTTCTTACGGTCAATGTAGCAACCTCTGCTTTTTGCTAGGATTGGGTGCTATATGCCCTGACTTTCAGTAATCATGAGGCAAGGCTAGGCAGCAAAATTTCTTCCCTTGGACAACAATTTTGGATGGTCTAGGCCTGTGTTTCTCACTCTGGGAGTTGGGATCCATCGGGGGAGGAGGGGGTCACGAGGGGGTTTCAGCAAGGTCACCAAAAACCACCAGAAAACATATATTTCTGATGGTCTTGTTGGGACAAGATATTTTGGTTTCTTTGCCCCTACAGCAGTGGTTCTCAACCTACCTAGTGTCGTGACCCCTTAATACAGTTCCTCATATTGTGATGACCCCCAACCATAACATTATTTTTGTTGCTACTTCATAACCGTAATTTTGCTACGGTTATGAATCGTAATGTAAATATCTGATATGCAGGATGGAATTTCATTCACTGGAACAAATTTGGCACAAATACCCGATATGCCCAAATTTGAATACTGGTGGGGTTGGACGAGATTGATGTTGCCATTTGGGTGTTGTAGTTGCTGGGATTTATAGTTCGCCTATAATCAGAGAGCTTTCTGAACTCCACCAACGATAGAATTGAATCAGACCTGGTCACACAGAAATCCCATGACTAACAGAAAATGCTAGGACGGCTTGGTGGGCATTGACTTTGAGTTTGGGAGTTGTAGTTCACCTAAACCCAGAGAGCACTGCAGACTCAAACAATGATCAATCTGGACCAAACTTGGCATGAACACTCAATATGTCCAAATGTGGACTCTGGTGGAGTTTGGGGGAGATAGACCTTGACATTTGGGAGTTGTAGTTGCTGGGATTTATAGTTCACCTACAATCAAAGAGCATTCTGAACCCCACCAATGATAGAATTAGGCCAAACTTCCCATACAGAACCCCCATGACCAACAGAAAATATTGTATATTCTGATGGTCTTCGGGGACCCCTCTGACACCCCCTTGTGACCCCCCCAGGGGTACCGACCCCCAGGTTGAGAAACACTGACATACAGTCTTAGGAACCCCTTTGGCAGAGAAGGCTGAAGATGATGATGATGATGATGATGATAATAATATTTATTTATATCCCACTACAATCTCCCCAAAGGAGACTTGGGGCAGCTAACATGAGGCCACACCCAAAGATACTATACAACAAAATAAAATGCAAAAAATAGAGAACAAAAATTACATCACAATAAAATATATACAGTAGCAAAGTAAAATAAATAAAGCAACAGCTCCCCCAGTGGCCAAAATACCCTCATGAAAAATAAGCCTCTGTGTTAAATAGCCTCTGTGTGTCTGTCTATATATGTTGTGTGTCTATGGCATTGAATGTTTGCCATGTATATGTACATTATAATCCGTACTGAGTCCCCTGTGGGGTGAGAAGAGCGGAATATAAATACTGCGAATAAATAAATAAATTGACATAGCATGAAATCGGACACAATGGGCAGGCCAAATGGACGAGGTAAAATGATGAAACACTGGATGAGGTAGGAATAAAAAAAAAAGGGTAATTGAGAGGAGCCCAAAAAGAATGACCAGTGGGGTTAGGCTTTCAGTTTAGGAAGGGGGAAAGTGCATCATAGGGGCATCACGGTAGATAGAACAAACAGAAATGGGATAAATGGTCACTCCATCCATTTATCTCTCCATCTGTCCTTCTTTTCCTTTTTGGAAACAGACGGCGAATCCTCCCACCAAAAGCCCTCCTCCGCTGTGATTGGCTGGCCTCTCAGCTGGCCTCTCAGCCAAGGGGAGGGCTTTCTCTGAGACTCCTAGCAGGGATGGGAGAGCAGGCATACTCGGCGCATGGCAGCGTAATGCGCATGTGTGGGTGAGGAGAGTGTGTGAGGTTGGAAGGAGGCTTGCACCAGTGAGTCCCTTTAATACATGGGTGTCCTTTTTGAGAAGTTTGGCCCAATTCTATCGTTGGTGGGGTTCAGAATGCTCTTTGATTATAGGTGAACTATATATCCCAGCAACTAAAACTCCCAAATGTCAATGTCTATTTTTCCCAAACTCCACCAGTGCTCACATTTGGGCATATTGTGTATTCCTGCCATGTTTGGTCCAGATCTATCATTGTTTGAGTCCACAGTGCTCTTTGGATGTAGGTGAACTACAACTCCAAAACTCAAGGTCAATGCCAACCAAACCCCTCCAGTATTTTCTGTTGGCCATGGGAGTTTGATTCAATTCAATCATTAGTGGAGTTCAGAATGCTCTTTGATTGTAGGTGAACTATATATCCCAACAACTACAACTACAATTACCAAATGTCAAGGCCTAGTTTCCCCAAACTCCACCACATTTGGGCATATTGTGTATTCCTGCCATGTTTGATCCAGATCCATTATTGTTTGAGTCCACAGTGCCCTCTGAATGTAGGTGAACTACAAGTCCCAAATTCAAGGCCCTCTAAACCCTTCCAGTATTTTCTGTTGGTCATAGGAGTTCTCTGTGCCAAGTTTGGTTCAATTCCATCATTGGTGGAGTTCAGAGTGCTCTTTGATTGTAGGTGAACTGTATACCCCAACAACTACAATTCCCAAATGTCAAAGTCTATTTCCCCCAAACTCCACCACATTTGGGCATATTGGGTATTCCTGCCAAGTTTGATCCAGATCCATCATTGTTTGAGTCCACAGTGCTCTCTGGATGTAGGTGAACTACAACTCCAAAACTCAAGGTCAATACCAACCAAACCCCTCCAGTATTTTCGGTTTGTCATGGGAGTTCTGTGTGCCAGGTTTGTTTCAATTCCATCATTGGGGGAGCTCAGAATGCTCTTTGATTATAGGTGAACTATAAATCCAAACAACTACAACTATAATTACCAAATGTCAAGGCCTATTTTCCCCAAACTCCACCACATTTGGGCACGTTGAGTATTCGTGCCAAGTTTGGTCCAGATACATCATTGTTTGAGTCCACAGTGCTCTCTGGATGTAGGTGAACTACAACTCCAAAACTCAAGGCCCACCAAACCCTTCCAGTATTTTCTGTTTGTCATGGGAGTTCTGTGCGCCAAGATTGGTTCAATTCCATCGTTGGTGGAGTTCAGAATGATATTTGATTGTAGGTGAACTATCAATCCCAGCAACTACAACTCCCAAATGACAAAATCGGTCTGTTTCCCCAACCCCGCCAGTATTCATATTTGGGCATATCGGGTGTTTGTTCGCAATTTGGTCCAGTGTATGAAAATATATCCTGCATATCAGATATTTACATGACAAGTCATAACAGTATCAATATTACAGTTATGAAGTAGCAACAAAAATAATGTGATGGTTGGGGGTCACCACAACATGAGGAACTGTGTTAAGGGCTCATGGCATTAGGAAAGTTGAGAAACACTGGTCTAGGCATAGCTTAACTTATTTATTTGCTCTTAATGAAGAGGTAAATAACCATTGAGGACAATAAAACTTGAAAGATGTGTCACTAAAACGAATCTCTCTGTGTCTATTCTTTTTTTACTTCAAAGAGAGAGATGGCAGACACCGATGAACCATGGTATCAAACCGGCAGCTTGGCAGCTTCGGAATATTATCTGCGCCCTCCCGACTTCAACCAAAGCAATGGCCAAAAGAGCTTTTGCCAGAAATATTCCTCAAGCTTAAAAAATATTATTCCCTTCCGCCCTCGAGCAAGGCAGGTTGTATATACTCATGACTATTGGGCAGATATAAGTGGCATTCTCCAATTGTGCAAATGTTTTACGTGAAAAATTCTGGCACAAGGAGGTATTGGAGGCTCCCCTTGCACAAGTTCCAGAAGTATGCAAATACAACCAGACTGCAGATTGGATACTATAAAAGCACTTGGGCCTTGTTAGATCACATTACCCCGTTTAACAACTTTGGCGATATAATCAATGCACACTTATGTGAACCTTTGTGTTGTTTTGTTATATTAATTTGGATGTTTTATATTCAAGTTCTATGTTAGTTATAATTTTCAATTGATCATGTTTTAGTTTTTGGGAAGTCAGACTTGGCCACAGTAGTCCACACTCTGGTTACATAATAATAATAATAATAATAATAATTATTATTATTATTATTATTATTATTGTGAAAGATGGGGTAAAAATGTCCTAAATAAATAATAAATAAGTTATAGTTGTTACGCTTAAGTTGCGCTATTTGTGGTGTTATTTTGGGTTATTATATTTTTATTTACTGTTATTGAGCATTTGATGTTTGCCTTTTGTTTGTTGGAATCCGTCCTGAGTCCCCCGGGGAGACAGGGCGGAATATAAATAAAGTATTATTATTATTATTATTATTATTATTATTATTATTATTATTTTACTGACACATATAGATCCAGATCTATATGCTGGATTTCGTATCACAAAATCACAAGTCGAACACTTCCCAAGTGTCTAGGACTGTGTGATGTGTTTTCGAATGATGCGCACAGATCCAAGGTCTTTAGGCACTGCACCCAGTGTGCCAATCACCACTGGGACTACCTTGACTATTATTATTATTATTATTATTATTATTATTATTATTATTAGATGATGATGATGATGATTATTATTATTATTATTACCATTATTATTATGAGATAAAAATAGGACTGACACTGTTGCAACTCAGAGTAGGCTTCATCTTGCCCCCAAACACCACCACACAAGAGCGGTAGATTTTGTAGTTTATTGAGGAAAAACAAAGTCAAAACATAGAGTAAGCAATGCAAAGTTCCAAAGACAAAGGTAAAATGCAAAAGCACAGTTCCCAAGATCCACAGGCAAAAACATGAAGCATAATCCTTTAAGCAATGATCAAACAAGAGTCCATGGTAAAACAATGAAACACAAGACCCAAAAATCCAAGATTCAGAAAGCCCAATGCGTGCATCTTATAGCCAAGATTAATCCATAGAAGCTTTCATGGAAAGAGCCACGTTGAACTGACAATTTCCCTTTGTCAGCCAGAAGCCTAAATACCCTTTGCCATCATGAAGGCATTGCGATGACTTTTTGCCGACTTGGCTTCTTTCTTACTAGCTAAGCGAGAACTCCTCCTGACTCTCCAGTCTAAGTGTTCTTGCCTGCTCATTAATTCACTACCTTCAATGCTCTCTTTATCAGTTTGGTCCAGCTGGACCAAATCACCGTGGGAAGGCTGAGCAGGCGAAGACAACTCCACCTGGCCATTATCTAGCTCACAGGCATTATTTTCCCCTGAGAACTGACTTGTTGTCTCCCCTGCTACATTGTCTGAGACAGGCCAGAAACAGGCCCAGAAATCTGAATCCCATCATCCTCTTCTGGCTCACAAGGCTCACAAGACCCACAGGGTTCAGTTTCAGACTCAGAATCAAACTGAGCCACAACAGACACTTTTTTTCACCTTCCAGTTTAGAAAAAATAAATATTTTTGAGTTCCCTCAACAAATGGTCTGGCCACATACAAGAACACCTTTCTACTTTTGCAATGTCCTTTCTAAAAAGCTTATTTCCTCCCCACTTGTCAGATCTTCTGCAAATCCAGTGGACGATGCCGGGCTCATCTCATTTGCAACATTTTCTTGGCTTTCGTTCCTGATGTTCAGAGGGTGCAAGCACAGCATTGACGTTGCCAGCTTGCCTCCGCTGTCCTGTCACGATAGTTCAGAAACAAACGCCAGAAGGTAATGACAACCTTTTTATGTCAGACTTTTCTTTTTTATGTAGGAGTTTTCTGTGTTATGGACAGAAGAAGAAAGTAAAAATAAAGGATCATTTGCCTTCTCCTGCCCTTGAGGATGTTGAGCATGATAGGCAGTTCTCAGGTGGAGAAAAATAATACCACTTATAGCTTCCTGCTGTTCTGGTCTTGGACGGAGGGAGGAAACGGGGCAATAGGGAAAGCAGAGCACTATAATTTATACCAAAGGTGTGTTGCACATAAATGTTTTCATGTACCTACACAGTGATTTCATGGAAAGGGGCTTCATTACTAAGGCTGGCACCAAAACCTAGAATCCTTGGCTACGCCAACTCCACTGGCTGCCTATTAGCTTCCGAGCACAATTCAAAGTGCTGGCATTGGCCTATAAAGCCCTTAATGGCTCTGGCCCAGTTTACCTGTCTGAACGTATCTCCTGCTATGAACCACCTAGGGCAGCGTTTCTCAACCTGGGGGTCAGGACCCCTGGGGGGTCACCAAAGACCATCAAAAAACACAGTATTTTCTGTTGGTCTTGGGGGTTCTTTGTGGGAAGTCTGGCCAAATTCTATTGTTGGTGGGGTTCAGAATGCTCTTTGGTTGTAGGTGAACTATAAATCCTATACATCCCAACAACTATAAACTATAAATCCCAACAACTAAAGCTCCCAAATGTCAAGGTCTATTTTACCCAAACACTACCAGTGTTCACATTTGGGCATATTGAGTACTTGTGCCAAGTTTGGTCCAGATCCATCATTGTTTTGTAGGGAACTATTTCAATTAGCAGTGGCTGGTGACAAAAATACCCTCCGTGAAATGAAGAAAAAATAACTTTATTTTCAAGTGTGGCCACACCGGACAAATCAGCCCAGACAATCTAGTGTCTTAAAAAAAGCTGTCTGTGCCATTTGGATTTCTCAGTCCCTTCTTATACATTTTTCCTGCTGTGTCATGAAGCAAATCCATCCCTTTCCAGATCAACCTTTCAAAAACATGTTCTCTCACCTTCTTGTCACTTTGGTGCCACTAAACTGATAACCTTCTACATACTTAGAGCAAACATACATGTTATGTATGATAGCTTTTCTGGATGTCAGCCTGCCCTGCGTATATCCTTGACAACATAGCATCCTGTGTTTTCCAAATACTTTATCTTCCTTTGGTCTTCGCTCTTCTGTAGGCCAGAGGACAAACCTCTTTCAAGCTTGCATTTCAGCATTTTAACGTTTCCGCACTCTAATAAGCTCCATTAACCCCTTCAGTTTGAGTCCACAGTGCTCTCTGGATGTAGGTCAACTACAACTCTCAAACTCAAGGTCAATGCCCACCAAACCCCTCCGGTATTTTCTGTTGGTCATGGGAGTTCTGTGTGCCAGTTTGGTTCAATTCCATCATTGGTGGAGTTCAGAATGCTCTTTGGTTGTAGGTGAACTATCAATCTCAGCAACTACAACTCCTAATGACAAAATCAATCCCTCCCAACCCCACCAATATGCAAATTTGGGTGTATCGGGTATTTGTGCAAAATTTGGTCCAATGAATGAAAATACATCTTTTGTATCAGATATTTACATTACAATTTATAACAGTAGCAAAATTACAGTTATGAAGTAGCAAGGAAATAATTGTATGGTTGGGGGTCACCACAAAATGAGGAACTGTATTAAGGGGTCACGGCATGAGGAAGGTTGAGAAGCACTGACCTAGGACCTTAAGATTGTCTGGGGAGGCCCTGCTCGCTGTCCTCCCACCACTGCAATCGTGGCTGGTGAGGACAAGAGACAGGGCCTTCTCTGTGGTGGCCCCTCGACTATGGAATTTCCTCCCAAGTGAAATCAGATCTGCTCCTTCCCTCCTGACCTTTTGGAAAAAGGTGAAATCCTGGCTGTGGGATCAAGCCTATGTGGACTAGACCAACATGAGAGTAGAACTATGGTTTAATGGACTCAGATGGATTCAAATGGACTTGTGTGTAGGGCGACGATTTAATTGTGGCGATTATTTTAATGTTTTGATGTTTTTATGATGTTTTTATAATGTTTTATACTGTTTTTACCTAAGATGTATATTTATGCTTTTGTTGTCAGCTGCCCCGACTCCCTCTGCGGAGGTCGAGATAGGACGGGATATAAATGTCTGAAATAAATAATAAATAAATGATACTGAATTCCCAGCAAGGCATTTGAGACCCCTATTGATGTCTTCCCTGGGCTACTCACACAAAAATGGACATGATCCTATGAGCTGGATGGCATGGTCCTATGCGGATACAATGGTAGACTTTTTCTGTGTCAGAAGCAACTTGAGAAACTGCAAGTTGCTTCTGGTATGAGAGAATTGGCCGTCTGCAAGGACATTGCCCAGGGGACACCTGGATTCTTGAGGTTTTACTGTCTTTGTGGGAGGCTTCTCTCATGTCCCTGCATGGGAAGCTGGAGCTGACAGAGGGAGCTCAACCCACTCTCTGGACATGTCAGATGCCAACTGCTATCATCATCCCTGGCTAGGACATTCCCTCTGTGGAGTGTATTTTTAGTTGTCACAGTTTAAGGCAAAGACCTGGCTTTTCATAATATGAAGAGTTTCTGACATGAAATATGTGACTCTGAATTGTTTCTTCTTGACAGGTTTCGACTCCTTTGGGAAGCGGAGTTGGCCAAAGCAGGCCCCGAGAAGGCTTCTTTAGTCAGAGTGGTGTTAAGATTTCAGAGGACAAGAATATTGGTGGATGTCATAGCAAATGTCGCTTGCATGATTTTTGGTGCCTTGGGACCGGTGAGTATTGTGGAGATACACTTATAAACTACTAATCAATGGAAGGGGACATAAATGTTGTCACCCAGAATACAGACAGTCCCCAAGTTATTGCAAGATAGGTTCTGTAGGTTTGTTCTTAAGCTGAACTTGTATAGACGTTGGAACAGGTACCGTATAAGATGACTGGGCGTACAAGACGACCCCCAACTTTTCCAGTTAAAATATAGAGTTTGGTATATACTCGCCGTATAAGACTACCCCTCTTCCAACACACACCAAATAAAATTTTTAAAAGCATCAGATTTCATTTTAATATGGTGATTTTCCTATTACTGTCCCTCCTTCTCTGCCTCTCAGATCTTGTACAGAAGCGAGATCTGAGAGGCAGAGAAGGAGGTACGGCAATAGGATACAAGGGTGGATAGACAGGTAAAAGAGTTGTGTTTTTCTGGGCCCAGAGCCACTCTATCTCTTTTTTCCATACCCCGGGTGCCCCAGATGCCTGCAGCTTGCTCCGCCCTTCACTTACACCTTCCTGGTGAGGCGCCCCTTCACCTCACCATCGGGACCGCATTAAGTCCACGAATCCAGATGAATGGATTTTCTTCTATCGTACTTGTACAGCATCGCCCTTAATGCTTTCATACAGTTTCTGCATATGGCAGGGATGAGGCCAATGCCATTTTTGAGCTCCCCTCACCATATGCAGCAACCACAGATTCTCCAATCCGGATTGGAAGTTTCAGCACCCACTCTGTAAGATGACTCTTGGTGTTGGGGTTCAGCCTATGTGTGAACTTGAACCTGACTCTCTGATTGTATGTCTTGATGCCCATGTAGATGTCAATGTGAATTCTGAGGCCAATTTAGATTATGATGGTTTGAGTAGTGAAAATCCTACAGACTTGGAAAGCGAAAGTCAAGATTCCCATGAGAACATACATTCCAAGCCAGGCAGAGGTGGTTCACTCCCTTTTCCTCCCAGTTTTAGCTCTCCAGAGAATCAGACACCTGGCCTGCCTAATGAGGATAGGCGGGGGCAGATTTGGCAGAGTCGGGGAGAAGCACAATGTTTACGCAGGTCAGCCAGATTGAAAGAAATCCAAACAAAATCTTCAGGCGTGTCTCGCAATAGATTTCTTGGCCTTAAATATGCCTGTTCTGAATCCAGCTTCAGACCAGGCATCGTTCCAGATTCATGTGCCAGCGTTTGCAGGTCTCCTGATTCAAGTAGCCTTGTTCCTCGGAGGTTTTCTAGTTGCCCTAAGTACGGTTAGTGATTTGCTAACAGGTTGCAGGATTCAGCAGTTTAGCTGTGGGTTTCACGACCTTGTTTATGGACATTTCTTGTTGCTGATTTTTACTGTGGCTTTTTACTTTTGCATTTTTCCTCTATTTTGTATTCATCTTTTATCAATAAAAAAAGGATTGTTTCCTGAAGCCAAGTGTGGTGGATTGTTGTCTGAAGGTCCAGTTTCCTGCTCTGGGTTGCAACACTTGGCATATAAGATGATTCCCAGCGTATAAGACGACCCCTAATTTTCGAGAAGATTTTCTTGGGTTAAAAAGTAGTCTTATACGCCAGAAAATATGGTACATTTTAAAGTGTAACTCCAGCCAAAGATAGATAGATGGATCGATAGATAGACAGACAGACAGATAGATGGTAAAGATTTCCTCTTGACATTAAGTCTAATCATGTCCGACTCTAGGGGGTTGGTGCTCATCTCCATTTCTAAGGTGAAGAGCCAGCATTGTCCGTAGACACCTACAATGGGGCCGGCATGACTGCATAGAGCGCCATTACAAACATTATATATACACTAGAGTCTCTCTTATCCAATATAAACGGGCCGGCAGAATGTTGGATAATAAGGAAGGATTAAGGAAAAGCCTATTAAATTTCAAATTATGTTATGATTTTACAAATTAAGCACCAAAACATCATGTTTCACAATAAATCAACAGAAAAAGCAGTTCAATACACGGTAACATTATGTAGCAATTACTGCATTTATGAATTTAGCACCAAAACATTGCAATGTATTGAAACAGCTTTGGATCTGGGCGGGGGGCAGACTGCGTTGGATAATACAGAACGCTGGATGAGCGAAGGTTGGATAGGTGAGACTCTACAGTATAAACATACATATATATATATATATATATATATATATACACACACACACACACATTATATGTATATACACAGAATATATATATATATATATATATATATACACACACACACATTATATATGTTCACACTTGGCCACGGTGGTACACGCTCTGGTCACATCCCGCCTTGACTACTGCAACGCTCTCTACGTGGGGCTGCCCTTGAAGACGGCCCGGAAGCTTCAGCTAGTCCAGCGCGCGGCAGCCATGTTACTAACGGGAGCGGGACGCAGGGAGCACACAACGCCCTTGTTGTCCCAGCTCCACTGGCTGCCGATCTGCTACCGGGCCCAATTTAAGGTGCTGGTGTTATCCTACAAAGCCCTAAACGGTTCCGGCCCAAAATACCTTTCGGACCGCATCTCGGCCTATGAGCCCACGAGGGCCTTGAGATCTTCTGGGGAGGCCCTTCTCTCGATCCCGCCTGCCTCACAGGCACGTCTGGCGGGGACGAGAGAGAGGGCCTTCTCAGTGGTGGCCCCCCGGCTGTGGAACACCCTCCCTGTTGACATCAGACAGGCGCCCTCCCTTATGTCGTTCCGTAAGAGCCTAAAGACTTGGCTATTTGAGAAGGCATTTAACTGAGTGCTACATTAATTGGTAATGACAACTGGAACGGAATATGGATTACGAGATTGGTTATGATTCTAGGATGTGACGGAGCGGATTATTTAGTGTAATTTAGATTATTGTGTATTACTGATATGTTGATTTCCTGTTTTGCTCTATTGTATACTGTTTTTATATGTTGTACACCGCCGCGAGTCGCCCTAGGGCTGAGAGCGGCGGTCAATAAATGAAGCAAATAAATAAATAAATAAATAAATATTATATGTATATGTATGTATGTGTATGTGTATATATATATATATATACACACAAACACATGCGCTTTGGCTAGCATACAGAAGGGTGAACACCCCTGTGGTGTTTGTTTTCCCATCTGTTCAGAAGATTTCACTTCATTTTCTGTCCCTGTGATAATTGGATTTTGAAAAATTTGGCTTGTTGGTGATAAAGCTTCAGTTGAGACACATTTCCCCCATGATAACTCTTTCAGGAGTGATTCCCTTCCGAGGGGTAGATTTTTCTCACTTTCTGTTGTCTCACCGCTGTTCTTAACTATGAGTCATTTGTAAGCCGGATGTTTATAACCCAGGGACTGTGTGTACTTTGCAGTGCATGGATTATACTTGAACTTTCCCTCCACTAAAAGGAAATAACTCTTTCCAAGGACTTTTAGAGCTCTTGCTAATCAGAGCACAGCTTGGAAAAGTTACATTCTGGGACTAGAAGTATAACCATTCCAAAGATTTGCAAATTATAATGATATGATGCTTCCCTCCATACCCACACCCCCAAATAATTCAGATTTCTGTTATTTCTCTTTTTGCAGACGGTGCTCATTTACAACATCCTCCAGTACAGTGAAAGTGGCTCCCGGGACCTGGTCCGAGGCATTGGCCTCTGCGTAGCACTATTTCTGACCGAGCTTTTCAAAGTCCTGTTCTGGGCCTTGGCATGGGCAGTCAACTACCGCACCGCCATCCGATTAAAAGTGGCCATTTCTACAGTTGCCTTTGAGAAACTGCTGACATTCAAATCTATGTCACACATCTCATTTGGTGAAGTAAGCCTTCTTTCTTAGCTCCTTGCTTGGAGATATTTCCATCATAATATGGCTTTAGTGAAATGCATTTTTAAAAAGATATTTCAAGTTTTGGACTGTTGCTCATGGATAATGACTGAAATCCCTTGGTTTGTGATTATGAATGCATGAATTTCCTTTTGAAAGGGGGTTGAATGTTTTGGTATACAATATTTTGGATACCGCAGGCATCAACTCAGTGTTGCACAACCAGATCAGTGCATTTTTAATGGATACGTACTTGAGCATTACATCTGATTAACTTTTTTACATTTGTGTGGTACCTGTTAATTTGGTTGCACATTTAGTGTCTTGGCTCAGTTGTGCAATGCTAGTATTCAACACAAGGGTTGTATGATTTAATGTGTAGCTTTGCACCTATACAAAGCTGAAGGAGAATTCAACATATATTTTAGGGCCACTGCCATTGAACTACGTTATACGTTTCATCTCATGTATTATTTATTTATTTATTTACCTTACTTATATACCACTGTTCTCAGCCCGAAGGCGACTCACAGCGGTTCACAACAAATACGAACAGCAAAAATTCAGTGCTACAGTATAAAAACAGTTAACAACCTAACACATTACACAATTAATAAACAGTTACTACAATACCCATTCACTGTCGTCTCGTCATCAAAAACATTCCAGATTCGTCATCCATTGTTCCATTCCAGTGTTCATTAACCAATCATTGCACTAATTATTCGAACGCCTGCTCAAACAGCCAGGTCTTCACTTTTTTGAGGAATACCATTAGAGATGGTGCTAGTCTAATGTCCGTAGGAAGGGCGTTCCACAGCCAAGGAGCCACCACCAAGAAGGCCCTATCTCTCGTCCCCACCTGCCGTGCTTGAGAAGCAGTCGGGATCGAGAGCAGGGTCTCCCCGGAAGATCTCAAAGTCCTGGTGGGTTCATAGGCAGAGATGCGGATCGGATAGGTAGCTTGGGCCGGAACCGTTTAGGGCTTTAAAGGCCAACGCCAGCACTTTGAATTCAGCCCGGTAGCAGATCGGTAGCCAGTGGAGTTGGCGCAACAGGGGGGTTGTATGCTCCCTGTGCTCCGCTCCTGTTAAAATCATGGCTGCCGAGCGTTGGACTAGTTGGAGCTTCCGAGCCGTCTTCAAAGGCAACCCCACGTAGAGAGCGTTGCAGTAGTCTAAACGGGATGTAACCAGAGCGTGGACTACCGTGGCCAAGTCAGACTTCCCAAGGTACGGGCGCAGCTGGCGCACAAGCTTTAGCTGTGCAAATGCTCCCTGGTCACCGCCGAAACCTGGGGTTCCAGGCTCAGCGATGAGTCCAGGGTCACACCCAAGCTGCGAACCTGCGTCTTCAGGGGGAGTGCGGCCCCATCCAACACAGGCTGTAACCCTATGCCCTGTTCGGCCTTGCGACTGACCAGGAGTACCTCTGTGTTGTCTGGATTCAATTTCAATTTGTTCGCCCTCATCCAGACCGTCACAGCGGCCAAGCACCGGTTCAGGACCTGGACAGCCTCCTTAGTAGCAGGTGGAAAGGAGTGACAGAGTTGGACATCATCCGCGTACAGATGACACCATACCCCAAAACTCCGGATGATCTCCCCCAGTGGCTTCATGTAGATGTTAAACAACATGGGAGACAATATTGAGCCCTGAGGAACCCCACAAGACAATGGTTGTGGGGTTGAACAGGTGTCCCCCAACAACACCTTCTGAGATCGACCCTCCAGGAATGACCGGAGCCACTGCAAAACAGTACCTCCAAGACCCATCCCTGCGAGGCGTCCCAGAAGGATACCGTGGTCGATGGTATCGAAGGCCGCTGAGAGGTCCAGCAGCACCAACAGGGACACACTCCCCCTGTCGAGCTCCCGGCGCAGATCATCCACTAAGGCAACCAAGGCTGTCTCGGTACCATGTCCCGGCCTAAAGCCAGACTGTGCCGGGTCTAGATAATCCGTGTCTACCAAGAATACCTGGAGTTGTGAGGCCACCACACGTTCCAAGACTTTGCCCAAGAAGGGGAGATTGGAAATTGGCCGATAGTTGTCGAATTTAGTGGGGTCCAGTGATGGTTTCTTCAACAGCGGTTTTATTATAGCTTGTTTTAAGCTCGCTGGAATCTTGCCTTCCCGAAGGGAAGCATTAACCACCACCTTAACCCACTCAGCCAATCCCCCTCTGGCCTCCTTTAGAAGCCAGGATGGGCAGGGGTCCAGGATGCATGTGGTTGGCCTCATTCCTCCAAGTATCTTGTCCACATCCTCGGGTTTCACCAATTGAAATGAATCCATCAAAACTGGACAAGCAGGTGCTCGTGTTACATCCTCAGAGACTGCCATTAACATGGTATCCAGACCAGAACGGATCAAAGCGACTTTGTGTGCAAAGAACTGAGCAAAAGCTTCACAGCGAGAAGTCGAATCGTCAGGGTTCCCACCTTGAGTGGTGGGATTTAAAAGGCCTCTGACAATTCGGAACAGCTCAGCCGGACGGTTCTTTGCAGACGCAATAGTGGCCGCAAAGAAGGCCTTCTTTGCGGCTTTTATTGCCGCGGCATATGCCCTTAAAAAGGACACAAACCGTGTTCGATTTGGCTCGCTCGGATCCGAACGCCACACACTCTCTAGTTCCCTCTTCCTTCGCTTCATCGCTGCCAGCTCCTCGGTAAACCAGGGAGCTGGTTTAGCTCGGCTACTTGAGAGGGGACGTTCCGGAGCGATCGTGTCAATTGCCCTAGTCATCTCCCCATTCCAGAGAGTGACCAGGGCCTTGACAGGATCACCTACCGAGGTGGCGGGAAACTCCCCAAGAGCCATCAGGAATCCATCCGGATCCATAAGCCTCCTGGGGCGGACCAACTTAATGGGTCCTCCACCTCTGCACCTACATTTTGGACTGATGGCATGGGACATGAGAGTTAGGCTTGTGTATTTCAACTGAGCTTCAATTTGTTTCTGCTGGTTAAATTTTGGGAGACCCCCCAGATCTGTTTTCACACACCTCTGAAAACTGGCAGGTAGTAGTCATGGGTCCAGTAACCATTTTAGCCATTTAATTCGTGTTTTCATACTGTTTGTTTCATTCAGGTGCCATGCTGAGTAAGAGGGACTCAGCCACCCATGCACCAAGGAGAATACGTGTATAATAATAATAATAATAATAATAATAATAATAATAATAATAATAATAATCCTTTATTTATACCCCGCTAACATCTCCCAAAGGACTCGGTGCGGCTTACAAGAGGCCAAGGCCCAACACATCAGTAAAACAACAGCATAACAAATACAACAATAAATAAACTCATAAAACAAAGCAATAAACATTAAAACAATAGCAATAAACATTAGACAATAACACCATGACGCATTTAAAACTAAGGCCGGGCCAAATGTAATGATTAAAAATTTTAAAAATGCTGGACATGACCAGGTGAAATGGATAGGTTTTTGGAGATAGGTGCGGTATGCAGACAATCTTAAATCTCTAGTAAAGTGCATTTGGGACATGATGCTTGGAGTTTCCTATTCTGGGAAGGCACACTGGAACAACCACATCTTCAAGCTCTTCCTAAAGACTGCCAATGTTGGGGCTTGTCTGATGTCCTTGGGGAGAGAGTTCCAGAGTCGGGGGTCCACCACGGAGAAGGCCCTGTCCCTTGTCCCCACCAATCGCCTGCGATGCAGGTGGGATCGAGAGCAGGGCCTCTCCAGATGATCGAAGAGATCGTGTGGGTTCATATACAGAGATGCGGTCACACAGGTAGGCGGGTCCCAAACCGTTTAGGGCTTTGTAGGTAAGCACCTGCACCTTGAATTGTATGACTTGCAGGCCCAAAGCACTTGCGCCTGCCAGGGCCTATAGCCAAGCACCAAGCACCAAGTAGGAAGCGCTTAGGGCTCAGCTGCAGGCCCTGGCAGTCGCGGGCACTTTTGGCCTGCATGCCACACACACTCTCCTTGGAAAGAGTGTGTGTGTGTGTGTGTGGTGTGTGCACACCCAGAAAGCACCCATGCCTGCCAGTGCCTAAAACTGAGGGGAAGATGTAAAGTAAAGGTAACCAAATCCTTTATGCACAATATATATCCGTAAACCTAATGCTGTCACCAATTAATATATGCGTGACATAACATAGAGAAGGGGGACATATATGTATGTAATGTATGTCCTTGTGAGGCGATGAGGCTGGCACAGGGGGAAATTTAATGACTTGTAGTTCTCTCTTGGAACACACTTCCTCTGTCTCTTTGGTGCCTTTATTATTATGTGTTTAATACAAGATGCAATTTTTATATATCTGTGTATATTGGAAATCTGTGTAAACTGACTTCCAGCCGTGTAGCTTTTATACTTGACACAAAACTCCAATATGTAAGTTGAAACAAGAAAATGTTTATTCATGAATTCTTTGGCACATAAGCTTATTGGTTACAAAGTACTTTACTTCAGTTCCACATATATGTTCTTGCAACTGTCTTTCACTTCTTTGAAATACATCAAATTGTTATTACTGTATATACTCAAGTATAAGCCTAGTTTTTCAGCCCCCTTTTTAGGCTGAAAAAGTTCCCCCCAGTTTATACTCGAGTCAAGGTTATTTATTATTTTACTCCGTTATTAGTATTATTTTTATTACATTTATAATTTTACTCTATTATTATTATTACATTATTTTACTTTATTATTATTATTATTAATTACATTTATTATTTTACTCTATTATTATTGATGCCTCAATTAATATAATTTTATTAGTACCTATTTTTATTTAGAAACTAGCGGTCCCCTGACACACGTTGCTGTGGCCCAGTCTGTTGATCTGGAAAATAAAGTATTGAGAAAGTGTTGGTTTCTAATATATGTAATGTCTTTCTGCTTGTGGGTAAACAGTATTTCTTGCTGTTTCTTTGTCAGTGTTGATGTGGAGAGTGTCTGGTTTGCCCACCTTGGAACATGCGACATATAATTGTCCTTCTTTAGGGGTCCCTTTCAAATCTATGATACTCTATCTGTGTGTGTGAATAATATCTATCTATCTATCTATCTATCTATCTATCTATCTATATATCTATGGCTGGATGGCTCTTTGTCAGGACTTTGATTACGTTTTCTTGCCCTGATGAAGGGAGTTGGATTGGATGGCCTTAAGTATTTTTTGTTGGTCATGGGGGTTCTGTGTGGGAAGTTTGCCCCAATTCTGTCGTTCGTGGGGTTCAGAATGCTCTTTGATTGTAGAAACTGTGAATCCCAGTGACTACAACTCCCAAATGTCAAGGTCTATTTCCCCCAAACTCCATCTGTGTTCATATTTGGGCGCATTGAGTGCTTGTGCCAAGTTTGGTCCAGATCCATCATTATTTGAGTCCACAGTGCTCTCTGGATGTAGGTGAACTACAACCCAAACTCAAGGTCAATGCCCACCAAACCTTCCAGTATTTTCTGTTGGTCATGGGAGTTCTGTGTGCCAAGTTTGGTTCAATTCCATCTGTTGATGGAGTTCAGAATGCTCTTTGATTGTAGGTGAACTATAAATCCCAGCAACTACAACTCCCAAATGACAAAATCATAATTTTTTGAGTGATGGTCACTCCTTGTGTTGTGAGACGTTTTGTTGCCAAATTTGGTGTGATTTCGTTCATTGGTTCTTTTGTTTTTAAGGTACTCATTATGCACAGAGCATTTATATATATATATATAGATAGATAGATTGTTGTAGTCTTATGTTGTACCAGTAGGTGCTGCATTTCCCCCACTCAGCTTATATTCAAGTCAATTTGTTTTCCCAGTTTTTGTGGTAAAATTAGGTGCCTCGGCTTATATTTGGATCGACTTATACTCGAGTATATAGGGTACATAACAATCAAACAGTTAACTTGTCTCTCTCTGTTAAGCCACTTCCTCTTTAAAAATATGTTTATGCTCAGCCTCCTGGCTGGCTATCTTAAGACTTTGACTAAAAACTTGTTACATTACTTTTCCATTACATGCCTTGAAATAAACCTTCAGATTGATCAGCAAATGACACAATACCAGCAACCTTCTAATCAAAATACCTCCAAAATCCATTAACATAACGTTTAAAAGTACTTTTGTTGGAGAAAAAAAATGTTACATTTAAAAAACATTATACCAATTATGTTATTTTTGAAATAAAGCTTTCATAATGCTCTCATTCTCCCACTTCAATTCATTACAAATGACTACATTAGGCTTGCGTTAGACTTTTTGCGTTATACAATTTTGGAATAATCTGGAACCCTGTGTCTTCTTACCTGAAAGGAATTATGCCTTGGGCATCCAGCCAAAGCCACAAAATTGCTCAGAAAGACCAAGAAAACGCCCAGAAGTGTTCTCTCTGGCCTCCAGCACATTTCTAAAGTCAATGTTCAGCAGGATGTCCAGTTGAAGTTGACCACAGAACCACACTGGAGACCTAGAAAGAACACTGCTGCAGATATTGTAAGGTCTTCCAAAGGGATATTTAGTGCTCTTTGTGCATGAATGAAACCATCTTCAACAAGCTTTTATGCTGTAAGAAGTGGCCTTGTTGTATATTAAAAATTGCTCTTAAACTTTGGATGAAAGTCCTCATACTTCCTATTTGGTTGTATCCTGACACTAAGAGTTGAGCAATCACCGATAAACCACCCAAACCCAAGTTTGCATCTACATTGTAGAATGAATGCAGTTTGGCACCACCTTAACAGCTGTGGCATTTTTTTTTCATGTCAGGAGAGTCTTGAGAAACTGCAAGTCACTTCTGGTGTGAGAGAATTGGCCGTCTACAAGGACGTTGCCCAGATGACACCCGGATATTTTGATGTTTTATCATCCTTTTAGGAGGTTTCTCCCATGCCCCTGCATGGGGAGCTGGAGCTGACAGAGGGAGCTCATCCGCACTCTCTCCAAATTCGAACCTCTGACCTGTTGGTCTTCGGTCGTTCCGGCACAAGGGTTTAACTCATTTCGCCACCGGGAACGCCACCGTTGTGGCATAATGCTATGGAATTGTGGGAGTTATAGTTTTACAAGGGGTTTAGCCTTCTCCTCCAAAGTGTGCTGGAGCCTCACCAAACTATAACTCCAATGATTCCATAACATTGGGCCCAATAAACATATTTTTTTCCTTTTTATTTTGATTTTTAAGCCTGTTCTTGGGTTTATTTGGGGCACTGATTCAGAAAAGTCCATTGGATAGACTTCATCTGCTCTATTTTCTTAGATATGGTTATCCTGGCTTTCTGTGGACGAGCAGACAGCAACTGGTAGATGGCATATGTTCTGTATTCCTAAAATTAGCATCAATAGAGGGGAACTACTGCCGTTTTTGGAATCAGCAGGTCAAATATACCCAGAAACAGGGCTAACATTTGAGGGACCAAAATGCGTGTTGCTCAGTGTTTATGGAAGTTCTTTGATGGCACAGTGGGTTAAATTGCTGAGCTGCTGAACTTGCTGGCCGAAAGATAAGTGGTTCAAATCTGGGGAGCAGAGTGAGCTTCCACTGTTAGCACCAGCTTTTGCCAACCTAGTGGTTCAAAAGTATGCAAATGTGAGTAGATCACATTCATTCTTAAGGGAAAAAGAAGATGTAGAGGAAGCAGAACAATTATAACATAATGTTAATTCCAAATAAACTTAATGACCATCAAAAGCAAGAAGGAAGTCAACAAATATCTATTTTTCTCTTTTTCTTTTTTACAGTTTTTAGAGTTTCAAATTTTTCATTTTTTTCTCTTTTTCTCTTTCTTTCCTCTTTTTGTTTCCTCTTTTCTCTCTTTTTCCTACTTTCTATACAAGCAAATGTTCTCACACTTTCAATGTAAAGGAAATACTATCTTTAGATTTCTTGTTTTCATTTTCTTTATTTCACATGATAAAATTTCAATAAAAATTTCAATCGACAAAAAAATAGGTACCACTCCGGTGGGAAGGTAACTGCGCTCCATGCAGTCATGCCAGCCACATGACCTAGGAGGTGTCTATGGACAACGCCGGCTGTTCGGCTTAGAAATGGAGATAAGCACCACACCACAGAGTCAGACATGACTAGACTTAATGTCAGGAGAAAACCTTTACCTTTTACTTGATAATACTGTGTCAGTCTTGTGGTCACACTCATTCCTCCACATCTTTCAGGTGATCAACCTATTAGCCAACGACGGCTATCGGATGTTCGAAGCGGCCTTGTTTTGTCCCCTGCCAGTTGCCGTTCCTCTGCTGATGCTCGTTTGCTCCATCTATTCTTGCATCATCCTTGGTCCCACGGCGCTCATAGGAACATTGGTCTATATTGTGTTCATACCCATACAGGTAATGTATACAAATACATTAAAATGGGGATGGTTCTGCCCAAATAGAGAAGTTGCTTGGAAAACTGGGAATTAGACAGTGACAATGTTGCACTCCAGAACAGGAAATAGCCCCTCTGTCTATAAATGCACCACATGTTGAGTGAAGGAACAATCCTTTTTATTAAAGCTTAGCAAAAAAGCCATTAGAAATAAATGCTTGTAAAGATAGATAAAATAGATAAGCAATAGGGCATTTAAAGGCAAGAAGAAGAAACAGCGTCCAAACGTAGCATTCGAAACAATGTTCAAAAAGCATGAAATAATATTCCAAGGCACTGATAACCCAAACAGGAACCAACCAAGAAGCAAATACAGACCAGATGCTGGTAGTCAAGTTGAAAGGCTAGAAAAACCATGAAGACGAGATCACTTGAACAGGAATTCGATGAGGCTTGTGCTTGGTTTCCAAACGATGCCTGATCTGACAAGATTTTCTACCAGCAAACCTTAAATCCCAAGAACTGGTTTTGTTTCCCCTCAGTCTTTGACTTTAATTGATGAATTCTTTCCGATCTATGTAAACATTGGGCCTCTTGTCGATTCTGGATAATCTCCAGCTGCCAACTCTGCTTATCTGACTCCTCATTAACTTTACCAGGTGTCAGACTGTTTTCCAAACTAGAATCTGGAGAGCTCACAGGAGGAGGGAGTAAAACTTTCTGCCAAGGCCTGACAGAAACATTCTCATGAGAATCTGCCCTTTGCACCGAAGCCTCTCTGTCAGTGTCTGCATGAAACTCATTGGCCAAAGTGTCTCCATCTTGCACTTCAGTCCCAGCATCCCCCACATCAGAAGCAACAGGGGACTGATTTCCCTCCTCATTACCCACATCAGACACAGAAACATCAGGAGACTGAAACATATTCACAGGTTCAGGTTCAATCACAGGCTGAGTTCCAACAGACAAGTAGTTTGATTCAGAATTTGATCTAATTCTGTCCAATTTACTTTGTTCAGTAGGACTGTAGATAATTTGGTGTCTTGTGATTTTTTAGGTTCACTCCCAATCAAAAAGACTTTGACTGGCCAGTATTCTTTGAAACTAGAAGCAATTCTCCCAATTTCTTCTTGACAGGATTTGTTCCAGACTATCAATATTGGCTCAAGATCAGAGGCAACCTGCCTATCATTCTGAGCTTAGAGACTTGTTTTTTCAAAAGAATGAATATAACTACATAGCGAAGCTGTCTATATCTGAGCAGCGATACCCAGAGCATCCTCTCTCTCTACTGCTGAGTTATGGAAGGCTCCGCAATGTCATTAAATTCATCTTTCTTTTCAAAAATAACTTTCCAAGCTCTGCTGTCAATACAGGTGGCTGGGGAACTAGCATGCATTGCCTATACCTTAACATCTTATTGGTCATGCTGGGAAACAGGACTGAAGAAGTCTGATAAGAACAGTGTTTGTCAACCTGAGGGTCGGGACCCCTGGGTGGTCGTGAGGGGGTGTTAGAGGGGTTACCAAAGACCATCAGAAAACACAGTATTTTCCATTGGTTGTGGGGTTCTGTGTGGGAAATTGGGCCCAATTCTATCCTTGGGAGTTCAGAATGCTCTTTGATTGTAAGTTAACTATAAATCCCAGCAACCACAACTCCCAAATGTCAAGGTCTATTTTCCCCAAACCCCACCAGTATTCACATTTGGCCATATTATTTGTGCCAAGTTTGATCCAGATCCATCCTTCTTTGAATCCACAGTGTCAATGCCCACCAAACCCTTCTAGATTTTCTGTTGGTCATGGGAGTTCTGTGTGACCAAGTTTGGTTCAATTCTATTGGTGGGATCAGAATGCTCTTTGATTGTAGGTGAACTATAAATCCCAGTAACTACAACTCCCAAATGTCAAGGTCTATTTTCCCCAAACTCCACCAGTGTTCACATTTGGGCATATTGAGTATTTGTGCCAAGTTTGGTCCATATCCATCATTGTTTGAGTCCACAGTGCTCTCTGGATGTAGGTGAACTACAACTCCGAAACTCAAGGTCAATGCCCACCAAACCCTTCCAGTATTTTCTGTTGGCCATGGGAGTTCTGTGTTCCTTGCAGTTTCAAGGTCTGGCTTCTTACTGCCTGGGAAATCCTTTGTTGGGAGATATTAGCTGGCCCTGATCTTTCTTGTCTGGAATGCCCCTGTTTTTATTGTTGTTATTTACTGTTATGTCAATGCTATGGATATTGGAATTTTAGTTTGACAGTCTTTTTTGCCTTCTCTACCAAATTGTGCTGGTCCATCCCCAAACTACAACTCCCAGAATTCCATAGCATTGAGCCAGGGCAGTTAAAATGGCTGCCAGTCTGCTTCCAAGCTAAATACAAAGTGCTGGTTCTTACCTTGGAAGCCCTAAAACAGTGCTTCTCAACCTTCCTAATGCCGTGACCCCTTAATACAATTCCTCATGTTGCGGTGACCCCAACCCTAAAATTATTTTCGTAGCTACTTCATAACTGGAATTTGGTACTGTTATGAATCGTCATGTAAATATCTGATAGGCAGGATGTATTTTCATTCTCTGGACCTTGGGAGTTGTAGTTGCTGGGATTTATAGTTCACCTACAATCAAAGAACATTCTGAACTCCACCAGAGATGGAATTGACCCAAACTTGGCACACAGAACACCCATGACCAGCAAAAAATAATGAAAGGGTTAGGTGAGCATTGGCCTTGAGTTTGGGAGTTGTAGTTCACCTATCTCCAGAAAGCACTGTGGACTCAAACAATGATGGATCTGGACTAAACTTGGCACGAATACTCAATATGCCCAAATGTGAACACTGTTAGAGTTTGGGGAAAATAGACCTTGACATTTGGGAGTTGTAGTTGCTGGGATTTATAGTTCACCTACAATCAGAGAGCATTCTGAACTCCACCAACGATAGAATTGGGCCAGACTTCCCACACAGAACTCCCATGACCAGCAGAAAATACTGTGTATCCTGATGGTCTTTGGCGACCCCTCCAACACCCCATCGTGACCCTCCCAGGAGTCCCGACCCCCAGGTTGAGAAACACTGCCCTAAACGGCTTAGGCCAGACTATTTAAAACCACATCTCCCTCTACAGACCAACTCAGATACTGCGATCATTGGAGGAGGTCCTCCTCTCAGTCCCACCCCCGTCCCAAGTACGGCTGGTGGAAATGAGAGAAAGGACCTTCTCCGTGGCTGCCCCCCACCTCTGGAATTCCTATCCTAAGGAGTTAAAGATGGCCATTTGATGTTGGATGTTTTGTCTTATGTCTGTTATAACAGGCCGTGCTTTTTATTTAATTTCAGTTTGTTAAGTTATAATTTGTATTTATATATTGGGTTGTATACATTTTGTTAGCATGGATGTATTGTTGTTGTATTTGGGCATTGAATGTTTATCTTTTATGTTTGGAATCTGCCCTGAGTCCCTTTGGGCGGAATATAAATAAATCATAGAATCATAGAATCAAAGAGTTGGAAGAGACCTCATGGGCCATCCAGTCGAACCCCATTCTGTCAAGAAGCAGGAATATTGCTTTCAAATCACCCCTGACAGATGGCCATCCAGCCTCTGTTTAAAAGCTTCCAAAGAAGGAGCCTCCACCACACTCCGGGGCAGAGAGTTCCACTGCTGAACGGCTCTCACAGTCAGGAAGTTCTTCCTCATGTTCAGATGCAATCTCCTTTCTTGTAGTTTGAAGCCATTGTTCCATGTCCTAGTCTCCAAGGAAGCAGAAAACAAGCTTGCTCCCTCCTCCCTGTGGCTTCCTCTCACATATTTATACATGGCTATCATATTTCCTCTCAGCCTTCTCTTCTTCAGGCTAAACATGCCCAGCTCCTTAAGCCGCTCCTCATTGGGCTTATTCTCCAGACCCTTGATCATTTTAGTCGCTTTCCTCTAGACACATTCCAGCTTGTCAATATCTCTCTTGAATTGTGGTGCCCAGAATTGGACACAATATTCCAGGTGTGGTCTAACCAAAGCAGAATAGACCTGGACCTAGATAAATAAATAAATATATTATTATTATTATTAATAATAATAATAATAATTCTACAGTGTGGATGCACTTAAAACTCTTATTTAAAAGGGGGAAAGAAACAACTTTTGCCTCTGTCTCGTGCCATTTTCCCTCTTTGCTACAGATGTCCATGGCCAAGCTTACCTCTGTATTCCGAAGAGCTGCCATTCTGGTGACGGATAAGCGCGTGCGAATAATGAATGAGATTTTGACATGCATTAAGCTGATCAAAATGTATGCTTGGGAGAAGTCTTTTGCAAAAGCTGTCAAAGGTAGGAGAAAAAAAGAGAGGGGGGAGAGAGAGGAGGCTTTTACATTTCAATGAAATGCCTTAAGTGGATCATTCTCGACAATATCCGTGATTCACTGTTAATTTGAGATGCAAGGCTATAATTTGCAAAAATGACATGCCATTGTCTTGGGAGGACATATGATTTCTCACTTTTCTCATGTCGTAATTGAAGGATGCCTTTCCCCCACTTTTACAGGCATTAGGAGAGCAGAGAGGAAAATACTGGAAAAAGCAGGCTACGTTCAAAGCGTGAACTCTGCCCTGACCCCAATCGTGTCCACCTTATCCATCGTCATGACGTTTTTCATCCATACCCTTTTAAACCTGGAACTCACCGCTTCTGTTGTAAGCTGTAGCCTCATATCACCACTCAGAATAAATACTACATTTTGGGGGGCTTTCCCCCAATATTTTGTTATTTTATGTGTATAGGGTCATTCCTCCTTATAACCTTCCATTCTTTTACGAGGGGCGTTCATTAAATATTTGCCTTGACCTACTTCTATTTATCACAAGATGCTGAAACTGCACATGTGTAATGATATAAGTCTCTATGGGTTATGTGCCAATTTACAACTCAGAACTGATAATGGTCTTGATTTTACAGGTGCTGAAGTGGTGGGAGGTTTGATAATGGACTCAATGGTATACAGAGCAGTCCTCAAGTTCCTTTACTTGAAAGGCCGCACACCAAAGGAGAGATTCGATGAGATGGAAGAGATTTATGGTGATGATTCCCCATCATATGATGTAGTCAAGAACTGGCATTGTCAATTCCAATGTGGTTGGACATCGGTGCAAACAGCTCCAATTCTAGGTTGACCGCACTCTGCTACTGATGAACAAACCATCCAGCAAGTGAAGATCACCATTTTGGGAAATCGCTGCGTAACCATTTGCCACCTAGCCCAAAATGTCAAGATTAGTGTGGAGTCCATGGAAAAAATCATCCAAGACCACCTTCACATGTATAAGGTATCCACTCACTGGGTCCCCCGCTGCTCACACCTTTCCAGAATCAGGAACGAGTTGAATGCTTTCCGGCCCTATTGACAATGATGTGCTATGGAAACCAGGAAGACCTTTTCAACAGCGTAATCACACATGGCGAAAGCTGGGTCCATCACTATGATCCTGAGACTAAAGTCTGGTTGATGCAATGGAAGCATCCTGACTCACCACCTCCAAAGAATGCACATGGCCAACTCTCGGCAGGCAAGGTCATGCTCACAGTATTTTGGGACCAGCACAGAGTAGTACTGATGGATCTCCTAGTAAAGGGTACCATGATCACTGGGGCATGCTATGCTTCACTGCTGCGGAATTGCGGGAGTCCATCCAAACCAAGAGACAATGTGGTATGCTCACCAAAGGTGTCCACTTTTTGCAAGCAATGCCCCACTTCACAACTCTCCTGTTATCCAAATGGAAGCATGCTACTGTGGCTTTGAAATTCTACCGCATTCTCCTTATGTACCCGACCTCGCATCATCAGACTTCCACCTCTTTCCAACAATGAAGTTATTTTTTGAAGGACAAGCATTTCTCAGATGATGAGACTCCGATTTCTAAAAATCAAAACATGGATTTTGGAGCAATCTGTTGACTTCTATAAGTGAGGTGTTTACAGTTGCTTAAAATGATGGGAGAAGTGTGTGTCCTGAGGTGGCACCCATGGAGAGAAGGACTCATAACTGTGCCAAGTTTCATTGCTCTCAGTCCACAGGAAGTGGGTCAGGGAAAATCTTTAATAAACACCCCTCACATGCTCATTGGGTCATTTTCTTCCTCAAGAGTGGATGCTCATATATGGCTTGCAAGTTCCATGCAAGCAGGTTGATCCCAAGCACTGTGCAAAAAACGAGATGGAGCCCCTCGTTCTCTGCTGGAGACTCCAGTGCAGGGTTTGGCAGATGGATCTCATGCCTACATTGATTATAGAATGAGTTCTCCATTTGAGTCAAATGTAGCTAGTTGAGAGGGTGAAGGACCAAGCCTGGATCATTAATGGTGCTATTGGATCGGTTTATAGTTACTATAGAAAGCTGAGGACAAAGGAGGAGGAGAAAGGAACTGGAGCATGTTAAAAGCAGCTGTGAAAGTGGGATGACAGAAGATTAATTAGACTGTCCCTGCCAAACTGAGAGTGCATGCTAAACCTGACTGCAAGTTGAACCAATGGGATTGACATAGGTATTGACTTGCCACGCATTAACTAAGGCACCTTCTACACTACCATATAAAATCCAGATTATCTCTTTGAACTAACTGGGTTATATGGCAGTGTAGACTCATATCACCGAGTTCAAGGCAGATAATGTGGATTATCTGTTTGATAATCTGGAGTATATGACAGTGTAGAAAGAGCCTAAGTCAAAGGGTTTATTGAAACTCAAGCTAACAGTTGGACTTAGGCCATGCACCTAATCAAGTGGTCCTACAAATGCTCTTGGACTACATCTTCCAGAAGTCCCAGTCACTATAGTCAATAGTGAGGAATGCTGGGAATTGGAATCAAGCAGTGTCTTAAAGGTGACATAAGTTTTATCCTGATTTGGGGTGCATCTATATTGTAGAATTGTTGCACTTTGACTGCCATAGCTCAATGCTCTGGACTCATGACAGTTATTATTTTACAAGGTCTTTCTCCTTCATTATCAAAGAATGCCAATGCCTCACCAAAATACAACTCTTAATGACTCCAGAGCACTGAGACTCATCAAACTGCTCTAATTCTACAGTGTGGCTGCACCCTTATACCTTGAAAATGGCATTCACTCTATAGGTTGTTGTAGGTTTTTCAGGCTATATGGCCATGTTCTAGAAGCATTCTCTCCTGAAGTTTCGCCTGCATCTATGGCAAGCATCCTCAGGCAAAACGTCAGGAGAGAATGCTTGCCATAGATGCAGGCAAAACGTCAGGGGAGAATGCTTCTAGAACATGGCCATATAGCCCAAAAAACCTACAACAACCCAGTGATTCCAGCCATGAAAGCTTTCGACAATACATATTCACTCGATAGTTTAGACTGTATTAAGTCTTAACTACACACTATATCAATTCATACTGCACATCATTTCAGAAAATCTTAAAAGTATAATGCGAAAATAATCATGCATGATCCTAACCATCTTTTGCTCATTTCCTTTGGCAGGCCTTCAGTGTGATTGCGATGTTTAACGTAATGAAGTTTGTCATTGCCATTTTGCCATTCTCTGTGAAAGCTGCAGCGGAAGCAGCTGTTTCTTTGAAAAGATTGAAGGTAAAATTAAAATGAGTTCAGACATTTTGAAACTGATGGACAGAAAAGAATGACTACAGGTCTCATTTTTGTTGCTCCTGTAGAATATCATGCCCTGATGGTTATAGTATCCAAAGCTTAGGAAGTGTTGAAGTTCAGCCTGTGATTGTGTTTCAGGATCAGGGTATTTTGGATGTGGGGAATGATGACAATGAGGTTCATGTGAGTCATGGTGTTTCCAATGATATTGATGCAGAGAATGATCAGGAGATCCCTGTTCCAAGTGTAGTTTCTCGTGAGAATGTTCCCGAAGGGTGTGGGGATGATGGTGTGCTCCCTGAATTGCTACCAGAGAATTCCCATGGTTTAGAGCCTGAGAATAGTTCGGCACCTGCAGCAGAAATTAATGAGCAAATAGATAGACAGGATGTTATTAGTCAGAATAGAAAAGCAGACCAGTCTCTTAGGCGTTCTGAAAGACTCAAAGAAAGAATGATAAGGGATTCAAGGCTAAAACGAAACCCATTTCTGGACGCTTGGGACATAGCGTAATGAGGAGATAAACGTGCCAAGTATAGGATCTGTAGTCAGATGAAGCATCGTTTGGAATCAAGATCTCGCTCTTGTTCCTTGGAAGCCTTACTTTGGAAACATTCAAGTGTTAAGTGCCTTTGATTTATATTTTCAGTTCTTGGATTTTATGATTCATGTGTTGAGTGTCTTGGATTCATGTTCCAAGTTTTAGATTTTATTATAGAAGTGTTTGCCTTTGTTTTTCATGAACTTTGATGGACTGCAGTACAAGAGTCTCCCAGTAAGCAATGCCACTGGTTATGCTAGGTGTGCAATTGTGAGAGTTGTAGCCCAAAGATAACTTTCCTAACCTATAGTTATTATATAGAAGATTTCTTAATGATCTTTCAATTTTAGAAGCTATTTCTTCATGCAGTCCAGAGATCTTAGAAACATCTGTACTAGTTTCTAGACATTGAAGGTTTGCCTTGCGTCTATGTATGTTGGAATCCATCCTGAGACCCTTCAGGAAGATAGGTCAAAATACTACTACTACTACTAATAATAATAATAATAATGCATTATTCGCCAATACATCACACAGTCCTAGACACTTGGGAAGTGTCCAACGTGTGATCCAATTCAACAGCCAGCAGAGTGTCTGCTGTGGACTCATCTTGTTGTGTTTCAAATAATAATGATAATGATAATGATAATGATAATAATAATAATAATAATATTGAAACACAACAAGATGAGTCCACAGCAGACAAGATCACTCTGCTGGCTGTTGTATTGGATCACACGTCGGACACTTCCCAAGAGTCTAGGACTGTGTGATGTATTGGTGAATAATGCGTGCAGATCCCAGTAAGGTGGCCTTTTGCAGCTGGCAGATGGTAATTTTGTCAGCGCCGATTGTGTTTAAGTGCAGGCCAAGGTCTTTAGGCACTGCACCCAGTGTGCCGATCACCACTGGGACCACCTTTACTGGCTTGTGCCAGAGTCTTTGCAGTTTGATCTTTAAATCCTCATATTGTGTCAGCTTTTCCAGTTGTTTCTCTTCATACTGTTGTCACCTGGGATTGCAACATGAACAATCCATACTTTATTTTTTAACATGATCCCGAGGTCAGGAGTATTGTGCTCCAAAACTCTGTCTGTCTGAATCCGGAAGCCCCAGAGTAGTTTGACGTGTTCATTCTCTGTAATTTTTTTGACTTGTGATCCCACCAGTTCTTTGTCGCAGTCAGATGGGATTTGTGGCACAAGTTCCAATGAATCATCTGAGCAACGGTGTTGTGCCTCTGCTTGTAGTCTGTCTGCGCAATCTTCTTGCAGCAGCTGAGGATGTGATCTATTGTTTCATCTGCTTCCTTGCAGAGTCTACACTTGGGATCTTGGGGTTATTATTATTATTATGTATCTTCCATACATCCATCTCGCCCCATGTTCTGATTGGGGTGAGTTTGTAAGCCTTTGGCAAGACAGTTTCTCTGAGATATTTGAAAATGAAGACATCAGAGATTGACCTGGACCTTGGTGTACTACATGTGTTCCCCACCACTGAGACATACCCCTGTTGACTCAAGCTGGACCTCCCACCAGTCCTATAGTGTGTGCACTTGACTCTGTCTCTTCTCTTTCAGAAAATTTTGGTTACTCAGATTCCTCCACCCTATGTGATCAGTTTGAAGGGTTCCCCAAATGCCGTGGTCCTGGAAGATGCCACATTGCGTTGGGGAAGTTCTTCCAGTGAATGCAGCCCGAAAGGGGTCAAGGAAGCAACCCGGAGTGTCACTTCTGCCACTGAATGCTGTGCCAAAAGGGGCAAGGGAACCACCCTGAATGGGAACAGCATCTGCAAAGATGAAGCTGTGCCAAAACCGGTCACGTCTCCCTCTCAGATAACAATCGTTGGGAAGGAGAACAGCAGTTCCTTTGCTTTGCGCAATCTAAATTTTACAGTAGCCAAAGTAGGTATAGCAGGACAAAAATAAGTTTGAGTGGATTTCTGCTTAGCTAATTTGAAGGTGATTGAAACATTTGAACACAGCAGGAGTAGACAAGTCTTCCAAGATTAATTTGCATAATTTATGTTGTTTTATCTTATTGTGGACATAATTTGTATGAAAGCAAGGGACTGGGACAAGAACCAATTTTGCATCATTTTCTTTCTCTCTATTTCTCAACAACATTTTATTATGGTCCAAAGACCCTAATTATTATGTATCTTCCATACATCCATCTCGCTCCATGTTCTGATTGGGGTGAGTTTGTAAGTCTTTGGCGAGACAGTGTCTCTGAGATATTTGAAAATGAAGACATCAGAGTTGGACCTGGTGTACAAGGTATGCAGGTAATGAGATTAAGAACAACTGGTTGATTAAACACACAAATGGATAAAATTTACAACAGTTAAAAACTGTGTAAAATACATTTTGGCTCCCATTCTGCTTCCTGTTTGTTATATGGGCAGAGCTTGGGATATTTGGGATACCTGCAAATCTCCCATGCAGCAATTCAGATTGGAGCACATTTGCTTTGGAAAATAGGCAGTGGTATTTGGCCACAGTCAAGTTCTTTAGATACGAGGGCCGAATGAAAAGTAATGCCTCCACCTTCATTACTTGGGTGTGGATGGGAATATTTTAATAAATCAAACGCACCAATAATCCTTAGAATGTGCTCTTTAACTACCACTATTCACTTTTCCACATAATCACCAGACAATTGGAAACATTTCTGCCAACAATGAACAAGTTTTCTGAAGCCGTCACAGAAGAAGTCGACACTCTGTTTCTGTCAGAAATAAGGCTTGAGTAGTGTCTTAATGTCAGACTGTAGGATCTAAATAGCAATAGTAAATAACCACTCACAAGCAGGCTTGCTTTGAAATGGATGTATTGCTTGTATCTCTGCAGCAAAGAAAGACACTACTGACTTTTTCCCACAACCACTTCCTTTTATACCCCTTTCCATCTCCCCTTCTTCTCAGTTTGCTTATTAGAACTTATTGCTTCACAAGTTCAATAACATGGTTTCCATCCTGCTTCAGAATGTCACAGAGAGAAAGGATTCAGTCAGGATGATTCAGTCAGGATGTCACAGAGGGAATTTGTGATGTCTTCATGCCATCAGAAATTGACTCCTAACAGTTTCCGCAACCCATTGTGCACAGATCTTCCAGTAGCCACGCAAAGCAATAATGTGACCCACACGTTCTTATGAAATGGCAATTATACTTGAAATTTCTCTCTGAGTGATACGATGATTGTCCTGAATCAATCTATCAACCTTTTGCTTGTGAAACTTGGAGGTTGCTGTCACAGGACGTCCAACTCTTTATTTGTCACACAAGTCAGATGTTCCCACCTCAACATCTTTAAACTTTCTCGCCCAAGGACGCACAATACTCACATCAACACAATCACCATAAACAGCTTGCATTCTCTGATGAATTTCCTTTGGAGTGACACCTTCTGCTGTCAAGAATTCAATGACTGCACGTTGCTTAAGTCGCATTGACTGATTGTATGCACAGGGTTCCATACTTTGGACTTTAACAACACAATCAGTCAATGCTAAGGTTTCCCATCAAAATGGAACTGTAGAGGAAAGTCTACTGAACAAGCCAGTCCCTGCTGCATACCAGTACTGCCATCTGTTGAGGAGTTATGAAGGTGGAGGCATTACTTTTTATTCAACCCTCGTATTTTGCTGCGTGGAAAGGCCCAACATAATGTATGGACAAGGCACTAGGGGAACAAAATACATAAGAGCAAGAGCGCAACTCACAAGAGGCAATGTCCCACAGTCTCTGTTTGATTGATTTGAGAGCCATGTCAAAACCCAGATGAATAAGGAGGGATATGAAAAGGCCTATGGAGGAGGCTTACTTAGAATGGATCTTAAACTAACTGCTTATGGACTCATCCTGAGCTAAGTGATGATCTTGACCCATATTAAAGTTGCCACCACCAGGCTCTTATTGACTGGGGTGCATAATTTGGATGAAAGTAGGGGACTGGGACAGGAACCAATTTTACACCATTTTCTTTGTCTCTATTTCTCATCGCAATATTAATTTGCTGAATGAGTCCATAAGACAAGCAAGCAAAGGGGAGTTGTTTTCATTTCATGCAATGTTTGAAAATTTAGTGAAGATATTGAAAACACATTCCATTTGCAGGGCAAAATCTTGGGGATTTGTGGAAACGTTGGAAGTGGGAAAAGCTCGGTCATCGCAGCAATATTGGGGCAGGTATGCACACTTTTAAACTTTGTGTTGGTATACATTCTTTGCTTCTGAATCAGTACATAGAATCATAGAATCATAGAGTTGGAGGAGACCTCATGGGCCATCCAGTCCAACCCATTCTGCCAAGAAGCAGAAAAATTGCATTCAAAACACCCCCGACAGATGGCCATCCAGCCTCTGTTCCAAAGCCTCCAAAGAAGGAGCCTCTACCACACTCCATGGCAGAGAGTTCCACTGCTGAACAGCTCTCACAGTCAGGATGTTCTTCCTACAGATTTTGGTATCCCAAAACCCAGTGGATACCAAACGCCCCTGGTAAAGTTGGCCTGATCTTGTGCTATCTCCTTGTTTCAGATGTATCTCCAAAAGGGAAGAGTTGCTGTGAGTGGTTCCTTGGCTTACGTGTCACAGCAGGCATGGATATTTCACGGAACTGTCAGAGAAAATATCCTTTTTGGAAAACCTTACAATGAACAAAGGTAAACGTGAAATCCAACTAGACAAGACTAGAGTGGAGGATAAAAGGGGAATATTGGTGTCCTCTTGCTTTGCTTTGTGCTTTAAATTGTAGCCTGTCTCTAGTCTTTGATAAGAGGAATTGAACAACCCAGATTTCCCCAGATCTTGGAAAACATTGCTTTGAAAGACTATGGCTCCCAAGAACCATCAAGTCAGCATGGACAGAGAGTTGAGTTATATAACTGTAAACATATTAACTTAGTGACTCAAGGATAGGCAGTAGGCCTGGGTAACAACGGAAAAATTTGTTTCTAAAATCGATTTGTATTTGGGGTTTTTTTTTGTTTCGATATTTAAAATAATTACAAAATTTTCCTTTTAAAAAGTTCGATATTTACGAAATTTCGTAAATGGTAAAAAATTAACGAATCGATTTCCGAAACAATAACGAATCGATTCGTTAATGGCGGACGCGACCGTGAAATACGCTAAAAACCTCCAAAACCTTCTGAAGCTTCCCTCTCCCTCTGTTGTTGACTGTTGGTGTGATATTATAATTTTTTTTCACTAATTAAACCATAAAACTGGCCCAGACATGCGGAAATAATAACGAAACGACCTCAAAACAATAACAAAACGAATACAATATCGAAATACGAAGCATTTACAAAACGTTTTTAAAATTCGTTTTTTTTAATAATTGCTCCAGAATGGTTCGTTATCGTTTTGTAATTGAAAAAATTAACGAATTATTAACGAATTACGAATTAACGAAACGAAACCGCCCAGCCCTAATAGGCAGCTCTCTTCAGGGGTACTTTCAGGTCAACTGGCAATAAAGTAATAAAAACCACAATTTCAGAACAATAAGTCACAAAGATCACCACAAAGCAAAGCACAGCAGAGCACAAAATACCAGCCTAATGTTTCAAGTACTTAAAGGAACTGGCTAATAAAACAACTGAGGACCTCACAGCCTCTGAGAATGCTTGCCATAGATGGAGGCGAAACATCAGGAGAGAATGCTTCTAGAACATGGCCATATAGCCCGAAAAACCTACAACAACCCAGGACCAACAATCGGTAAATTGGCACAGTTGTGTGAATGGAAACATGTATGATAGGAAGAGTACTTAATTATTCCAGGATGTAACCACTATTAGTGATCGTGCAATGCTATGGAATAGAGGTTTTGTTTGATAATGTCTTTTATTTATTTATTTATTGTGTCAGGGGCAACCAGACAATTGTATTAAATTTCTAACAGAACAAAACAAACAGACAGACAGAACACAAAATTTACAAGTTTGGTAGTTGATTAAATGTCCTTTGACCAGTATCTGGCCACTTGGAGTGCCTCCGGCATTGCCGCAAGAAGGTCCTCCATTGTGCATGTGGCAGGGCTCAGGTTGCATTGCAGCAGGTGGTCAGTGGTTTGCTCTTCTCCACACTCGCATGTCGTGGATTCCACTTTGTAGCCCCATTTCTAAAGTGTGTCTCTCATTTGGTATCAGCCATTGATTGAGGTTCTGGGTTTGAGCCTGCCACTTTTGGACTCTCGCTTGCTGAGGTGTTCCAGCGAGTGTCTCTGTAGATCTTAGAAAACTATTTCTAGATTTAAGTCATTGACGTGCTGGCTGATACCCAAACGGGATGAGCTGGAGATGTCTCTGCCTTGGTCCTTTCACTATTGGCTGCTACTTCCCGGCGGATGTCAGGTGGTGCAATACCGGCTAAGCAGTATAATTTCTCCAGTGGTTTGGGGTGTAGACATCCTGTGATAATGTGGCATGTCTCATTAAGAGCCAAATCCATTGTTTTAGCGTGGTGAGATGTGTTCCACACTGGGTATGTGTACTCAGCAGCAGAATAGCATAGCGCAAGGGCAGATGTCTTCACTGTGTCTGGTTGTGATCCCCAGGTTGTGCCAGTCAGCTTTCGTATGATATTGTTTCTAGCGCCCACTTTTTGCTTGATGTTCAGGCAGTGCTTCTTGTAGGTCAGAGCACGGTCCAGAGTGACTCCCAGATATTTGGGTGTGCTGCAATGCTCCAGTGGGATTCCTTCCCAGGTAATCCTCAGAGCTCAGGATGCTTGTCTGTTCTTAAGGTGAAAAGCACATGTCTGTGTTTTAGATGGATTAGGGATCAGCTGGTTTTCCCTGTAGTAGGCGGTAAGAGCACCTAGAGCTTTGGAGAGCTTCTGTTCTACCATCTCAAAGCTCCCTGCTTGAGCGGTGATGGCACAATCATCAGCATAGATGAAACTCTCTGTCCCTTCTGGCAGTGGCTGGTCATTTGTGTAGATGTTGAACATGGATGGAGCAAGCACGCTCCCCTGAGGCAGGCCATTCTTCTGTCCTGAGTAGACATCACTGGTCCTGAGCCATCCTGAGGAGCTTTCTGCCAAAGAGATATCCTGGAGATTAGACACAGTTCACCCATTTGTATTTTGAAGCAAACCTGCAAAGTGTCTTTTGCTTGGAAGACAACAAAACCTTTCAAAGAAGGCTGAACACAGTTCACTTTTTTAATGTTTCAGGTACAATTATGCCATCAAAGTCTGCTGCCTGAAGTCAGATATGGACATTCTTCCTTACGCAGATATGACTGAAGTAAGTGTCACAACAAAAGCTGGATTAACATGGCCTTTCAGAACATGTGTCAGAGCATTCCTCTTATTTATTTTTTTATTGTCTCATACAAGTGCTTTGCATAGCAAAACAACTTTCTTATTCTAGCATTATTTGTCAGGGAGCTCCTACCTTTGTCAGACTTCTATTAACAGGGTGGAAAGGAAATATGAAAGAGAGAGGCGTTTTTCGATATTCTTTAGTGGTTCGTGGAGCCCTCGGTGGTGCAGTGGGTTAAACCGCTGAGCTGCTGAATTTGCTGACTGAAAGGTCAGTGGTTCATATTTGGGGAGCGGGGTGAGCTCCCACTGTTCGCCCAGCTTCTGCCAACCTAGCAGTTCAAAAACATGCAAATGTGAGTAGATCAATAGGTACCCCGCAAATCAGCAGTTCATATTTGGGGAGTGGGGTGAGCTCCCACTGTTCGCCCATCTTCTGCCAACCTAGCAGTTCAAAAACATGCAAATGTGAGTAGATAAATAGGTACCCTGCAAATCAGAAGTTCATATTTGGGGAGCGGGGTGAGCTCCCACTGTTCGCCCAGCTTCTGCCAACCTAGCAGTTCAAAAACATGCAAATGTGAGTAGATAAATAGGTACCCCGCAAATCAGAAGTTCATATTTGGGGAGCGGGGTGAGCTCCCACTGTTCGCCCAGCTTCTGCCAACCTAGCAGTTCAAAAACATACAAATGTGAGTAGATCAATAGGTACCCCGCAAATCAGCAGTTCATATTTGGGGAGTGGGGTGAGCTCCCACTGTTCGCCCATCTTCTGCCAACCTAGCAGTTCAAAAACATGCAAATGTGAGTAGATAAATAGGTACCCTGCAAATCAGAAGTTCATATTTGGGGAGCGGGGTGAGCTCCCACTGTTCGCCCAGCTTCTGCCAACCTAGCAGTTCAAAAACATACAAATGTGAGTAGATCAATAGGTACCCCGCAAATCAGCAGTTCATATTTGGGGAGTGGGGTGAGCTCCCACTGTTCGCCCATCTTCTGCCAACCTAGCAGTTCAAAAACATGCAAATGTGAGTAGATAAATAGGTACCCTGCAAATCAGAAGTTCATATTTGGGGAGCGGGGTGAGCTCCCACTGTTCGCCCAGCTTCTGCCAACCTAGCAGTTCAAAAACATGCAAATGTGAGTAGATAAATAGGTACCCCGCAAATCAGCAGTTCATATTTGGGGAGCGGGGTGAGCTCCCACTGTTCGCCCAGCTTCTGCCAACCTAGCAGTTCAAAAACATACAAATGTGAGTAGATCAATAGGTACCCCGCAAATCAGCAGTTCATATTTGGGGAGTGGGGTGAGCTCCCACTGTTCGCCCATCTTCTGCCAACCTAGCAGTTCAAAAACATGCAAATGTGAGTAGATAAATAGGTACCCTGCAAATCAGAAGTTCATATTTGGGGAGCGGGGTGAGCTCCCACTGTTCGCCCAGCTTCTGCCAACCTAGCAGTTCAAAAACATACAAATGTGAGTAGATAAATAGGTACCCCGCAAATCAGCAGTTCATATTTGGGGAGTGGGGTGAGCTCCCACTGTTCGCCCAGCTTCTGCCAACCTAGCAGTTCAAAAACATGCAAATGTGAGTAGATAAATAGGTACCCCGCAAATCAGCAGTTCATATTTGGGGAGCGGGGTGAGCTCCCACTGTTCGCCCAGCTTCTGCCAACCTAGCAGTTCAAAAACATGCAAAAGTGAGTAGATAAATAGGCACCACTCCGGCGGGAAGGTAATGGTGCTCCATGCAGGCCTGCCAGCCACACGACGGTTACCTGTCCAAATGTATCTCCTTTTATGAACCGTCTTGGAAGTTAAGAGCTGGGGAGGTTCTGCTCTCTGTCCTGCCTCCTTTGCAAGCATGGTTGGTGGGGACGAGGGGCAGGGCCTTCTTAGTGGTGGCCCCTCAGCTGTGGAACTCCCTTCCAAGTGTTATTCAATCAGCTCTTTCCTTCCTGGCCTTTAGAAAAAAAGTTAAAACTATAGGACCAAGCTTTCAGAGAATAACTGCAATGCAATAAATGATTTCAGAATTAGTGCAATGACAATCAGGAATGGATCTGAACTACAATTTTGGATGACATGATTTTAATAATTGATGTACTTGTTTGATGTTTTCATTCTGTGTTTTTAGTGTAAATGTTTATTTAATTGTATGTTTTTATAGCATTGAATTGTTGCCGATGTGTGTGCTGAATTGTTGCCGATAGTTGCCGATGCTGTGAGTCCCCTTCGGGTTAGAGAAGGGCGGGATGCAAAAGTTGTAAATAAATAAACTCTTGTTGTAAATAAATTGGAGGCCTCTACGGACAGATTCCAATACATGATATTCTGGTCTGACACCTCACATAATTTGATGCTCTTATAGTTTACCTTGGGCCCCCGGTGGTGTAGTGGGTCAAAAACCGCTGAGCTGCTGAACTTGTTGACCGAAAGGTTGGCTGTTCGAATCCGAGGAGCAGGGTGAGCTCCCACTGTCAGCCCCAGCTTTGGCCAACCTAGCAGTTCGAAAACATGCCAATGTGAGTAGATCAATAGGTACCGCTCCGGTGAGAAGGTTACCATGCTCCATGCACTCATGCCGGCCACATGACCTTGGAGGTGTCTATGGACAACACCGGCTCTTTGGTTTAGAAGTGGAGATGAGCACCAACCCCCAGAGTTGGACCCAACTAGACTTAATGTCAAGGGGAAACCCTTAATGGCTAGTAATAAGGTTTTTTGAATCTTCTCGTCCAGTGTTTCTCAACCTGGGGGTCGGGACCCCTGGGGGGATCGTGAGGGGGCATCAGAGGGGTCGCCAGAGACTACCAGAAAACACAGTATTTTCTGTTAGTCATGGGGGTTCTGTGTGCCCAATTCTATTGTTAGTGGAGTTCAGAATACTCTTTGATTGTAGGTGAACTATAAATCCCAGTAACTACAATGCCCAAAGGTCAAGGTCTGTTTTCCCCAAACTCCAACAGTGTTCACATTTGGGCATACTGAGTATTCGTGCCAAGTTTGGTCCAGATCTATCATTGTTTGAATCCACTGTGATCTCTTGGATGTAGGTGAACTACAACTCCCAAACTCAAAGTCAATGRCCACCAAACACTTCCAGTATTTTCTGTTGGTCACGGGAGTTCTGTGTGCCAAGTTTGGTTCAATTCCATCATTGGTGGAATTCAGGATMCTCTTTGATTGTAGGTGAACTATAAATCCCAGTAACTACAATGCCCAAAGATCAAGGTCTGTTTTCCKCAAACTTCAGTAGTGTTCACATTTGGGCCTATTGAGTATTCYTGCCAAGTTTGGTCCAGATKTATAATTGTTTGGATCCYCGGTGATCTCTTGGATGTAGGTGAACTACAACTCCCAAACTCAAGGTCAATGCCCACCAAACACTTCCAGTATTTTCTGTTGGTCAATGGGAGTTCTGTGTGCCAAGTTTGGTTCAGTTRACATTATTGGTGGAATTCAGYATGTTCTTTGATTGTAGGTGAACTATAAATCCCAGCAATTACAACTCCCAAATGAGAAAATCAATCACCCCCCTCCCCCCAACCCCACCAGTATTGAGATTTGGGCGTATCGGGTATTTGTGCCCAATTTGGTCCGGAGAGTGAAAATACATCCTGCATATCAGATATTTACATMATGATTATAACCATAGCAAAATGACAGTTATGAAGTAGCAATGGAAGTAATTTTATAGTTGGGGGTCACTACAYCACGAGGAACTGTATTAAGGGGTCGCGGCATTCGGAAGGTTGAYAATCACTGTTCTAGTCCTTCCCAGCAGTTRGTCCCAACATATCCATGTAGAATTCCTCACAAAATAGGAGTAAGCATGCCCCTTGCCTTCGCCACCAAAGATAAATCCGATCCCTCTTTTATTGTCGGTTTATTTAGATCCGGGGTTATCTATCTTGATTCAGTTAACGAGCCAAGCTCAACGGACCTTCACCTCTGTCGCTATCAAACTGTATTGAGTGTGTATTTAATATCATAAGGGCTATCGATTGCTTGGAAGGTCTACTGCAACGTTCTAAAGATTATTTATTGCAAACATATGCATTCCTTTTTGTTTGTGTGTGTTGTTGAATGACCTTGCAAATGATGCCTTTTATTTGTTTGTTCCCTTTTCTCTTTTTGTTGGGATTTGGAATCGAACAACCTCTAGATCAGTGTTTCTCAACCTTCCTAATGCCGTGACCCCTTATACCAGGGGTCCTCAAGCTAAGGCCCGGGGGCCGGATACGGCCCTCCAAGGATGTTTACCCGACCCTCGCTCAGGGTCAACCTAAGTCTGAAATGACTTGAAAGCACACAACAACAACAACAACAATCCTTTCTCATCAGCCAAAAGTAGTCCCACACTTCCCATTGAAATACTAATAAGTATTGCACTGGGACTGTGGCGCAGCTGGCTGAGTGTCAGCTGCATTAAGATCACTTCTGACCAAAAGATCATGAGTTCGAAACCAGCCCAGGTCGGAGTGAGCTTCCGACCAATTGTGTAGCTTGTTGTTGACCTTTGCAACCCGAAAGACAGTTGCATCTGTCAAGTAGGAAAATTAGGTACCACCTATGTGTGGGGAGGCTAATTTAACTAATTTACGAGGCCATAAAAAAAGACTCCAGCAAAGCATGCGGGGAATGCGGAAGTACTTCACCAGTGTCACAGATGGACGATGAAAGTGACAGCTCTCCAGGCGGCCAGAAAAAGTTAAATAGCCTCTGACTGTCTGTCTATATCTGTTGTGTGTTTTTGGCATTGAATATTTGCCATATATGTGTACATTGTAATCTGCCCTGAGTCCCCTGCGGGGTGAGAAAGGCGGAATATAAATACTGTAAATAATAATAATAATAATAATAATAATAATAATAATGATAATGATAATAATAATTGTTATAATTGTTCTTCATTTTAATTATTGTATTGCTTTTAAGTGTTTTTTGCACTACAAATAAGATATGTGCAGTATGCATAGG